AGCTTGCGGTTTAAAATTGTCTCTTAAAAGTCGTAAAATTTGATTACATCGCGGAAATAGCGAGCCCAAAGTATAGTTAGGGCTCCAAGACAGTTTAAGAGCAACCGCCTAAACAGTAAACACGTACATTAAAGCATCCTATTCAAAAGGGCCAGTGGCGGAATTAAACTGATAGTGATGGGTACAAACTGTTTTGTAAGGGGGATATAACCTCGTTTCAATGGTATCGCACAATTGGGTGCGATATTCTGTTGAGTATGGTGGATGAAAAACAATGCTTTTAGTATATTGATCTATTTATTTATTCATTTGAATGGTTTTCAGTATCAGAGTGTAGTAGTGTAGTAGTGTAGTAGTGTGTAGTAGTGTAGTAGTGTAGTAGTGTAGTAGTGTAGTAGTGTAGTAGTGTAGTAGTGTAGTAGTGTAGTAGTGTAGTAGTGTAGTAGTGTAGTAGTGTAGTAGTGTAGTAGTGTAGTAGTGTAGTAGTGTAGTAGTGTAGTAGTGTAGTAGTGTAGTAGTGTAGTAGTGTAGTAGTGTAGTAGTGTAGTAGTGTAGTAGTGTAGTAGTGTAGTAGTGTAGTAGTGTAGTAGTGTAGTAGTGTAGTAGTGTAGTAGTGTAGTAGTGTAGTAGTGTAGTAGTGTAGTAGTGTAGTAGGGGGATATAACCTCGTTTCAATGGTATCGCACAATTGGGTGCGATATTCTGTTGAGTATGGTGGATGAAAAACAATGCTTTTAGTATATTGATCTATTTATTTATTCATTTGAATGGTTTTCAGTATCAGAGTGTAGTAGTGTAGTAGTGTAGTAGTGTAGTAGTGTAGTAGTGTAGTAGTGTAGTAGTGTAGTAGTGTAGTAGTGTAGTAGTGTAGTAGTGTAGTAGTGTAGTAGTGTAGTAGTGTAGTAGTGTAGTAGTGTAGTAGTGTAGTAGTGTAGTAGTGTAGTAGTGTAGTAGTGTAGTAGTGTAGTAGTGTAGAAGTGTAGTAGTGTAGTAGTGTAGTAGTGTAGTAGTGGCTGAGTTTCGAAGGTACTTGATCATTGATTTGTAGTTTAAAATGGCTGCAAAGGCCACATTTATGTACAAGTTATGAAGTCACCAAGTCACCAAGTTCTATATCATATTATCTTACTTAAAAAAATAACAAGACACTCAACGAGGCAATGGTCGATTCTAGTTCTTTTTTGGGTTTTAGTAAAAAAATGTACAGTAACACCCGGTAATTTGTTAATCTTATGTAGATGTAAATACTAAATTAGTCCGGTTGCCGAAGGTGTAGTATATCACTGAATTAAACGGATTAAACGATTCAAAAGTCAAAAGTCAAAATTCACTGTATGAACAAGAGGAATATGCTCTAGGCATTTTCAAAATGAGGAATATAGGGCGTATACTCTAGTAGCAGGGAGGAGTTGAGTGTGCACTTCGATGTATAGAGTTTTTTGATACTGAATCGGGTTGAATAGGTCATTGGTAACTCAAATCACCGAACGGCACATGTTGTGTCGCTAGTCACAACCCTGTGGGGACCACGCCCATATTTCACATTAGGCGCATATATGGGAAATCTGTACCTCAGCTTCTGAAGGTCTTAGAGACTCAAACTTTGGCCTAAATTGACTGCAATGCACATGTTTATATTGACACTATAAAGGTCATAAAGGCCCAAAATGCTTACTTTTGGAAAAATCCAGAAAAACTGATTTTCACCGGGGCGAGAGTGAAAAAAATCTACTCTAGAAGCTAATTGAAATCGAGTATGCAGTTTGGTGTCTACAACTTTTCTAGAAACCAGGTCTTTTGTAAGGTCATTCTGGAACAGAATTGATAAGGTACGCAATTTCTATCAGTAGTTCCAACCCTAGGGTGGAAATTTCTAAATTACCCTCAGGCGCAAATATATGAGTTTTGTATCTCGGCTTCTGAACGTTGTACTTGTAGGGGCCTCTCTTTTAGCTAACTGCAAAGGCCACATTTACATACAAGCTATAAAGCAACATAGGGTTTATAGTGCTTAGTTTTGGAGATATTCATTAAAAACTGTTTTAACTTTCGTGCATCCTAAAATAGTAACACATGTGCTTAATTTTGGTATCCCGGGCTAAAAAAGTCTTACAGATACTTTGCTTGCAGCACAGCAAAATGTTCAGCATGAACACATTCAGATATATTTATGGAGCAACACAATTCAGTTTCAGAAGCTCCTTCCAGCTATCTTATCTTATCCTCAAATGTATACATCAAACCATCTCTCTGGTTACTTCAAACCACTTCAATCCCCAAATGTATACATCTAACCATCTTTCTGATCACCAGCACCTGCAAATTCTAGCACTATCCAGCAACCTCAGACTACTTTCTGCTCTATCCAGCTAACACTAGCAAACGGTACCCAAAAACTGTAGCTTCTTCTAACTACTTCGGGCTACATCCATCCTTATTCAGTTGGATGATCACTCTCAAATTCTATCTGTTTTTACCTAATTCAGGCTACCTCCAGGCTCCAGCTAGAATTTGAGGGTGCTTGTGCTGTGCTATCTGGATATAGGCTCATAAGTAGCATTCAGAGGTTGCTAGAAATAGCAGGTTCCCTCTTCCTCAATGAGCTGGAAATTGTTGAATGCGGCTGAGGTAGCCGGAAATTTTTGCTGCTGGTGTTATAAAAGGCAAGAGGTAGCTTAAGTTAAGTTTGCTAGAAAGAGCAGATGTTGGAGGGGCCAAGGGGCCTTGCAGTAGTAGCTAAATAGATGTAGCCGAAGTACGTGAAAAGAGCTGGAATTGGTGGTATCTGCCCACTGGAGCACTGGTGGTACCTACCTGTATAGAGCAGGAGGTAGCATTCAGAGGTTGCTAGAAAGAGCTAGAATTATAACGTGCTGGTGGTAGCTGGGTAGAATAGGCATGGCATGGAGGTAGCAGAATTAAAGGTAGCTAGAAGTATATTCTACTTCATGAGGTGGGATTGAAGTTGACTAGCCATAATAGCCAAACAGTACTGGAGAGAGCCCAATTTGTGGTAGATATAACGAGATAGTTAGAAGTTCAATTCCCTGATCAATATCATGACCACCGAAGACCAATATGGGGGAGACCAAAATGGCTTGGTCTAATAAAAAATCAAAAACCATTTGGTCGAAAACTTAGTAATTTCCGCTCGCTGTCAAAATTTTCAAGTAAGTTGATCATCTGATACATCTCTCCGAGAAGTTTGAATGTGACACAGTGCCGGCCCTCTTGAAACATTATTAGATCACTCTACGGGCCCCAATTCTTAGGAATGCAGCTGTGTTTTCTCGGGCGCTTCGTGAGCTATTTTCGTAAATCTCAACACCACCGAGAACGAAAAAGGTACTCCAACGTTAGTCGTAATTATATTTGGTTTTCCTAGCCTTGCGCTCTGGAAAACCAAGAAGACCAAGAAGACCAGTACAGATCTAATCAAGCAATGGGAGAGGGGAACTATAATGTGCGGCCTGTGTATCACAGTGTTCGCACAAAGTTCCAAGTTGCGGTGTTTATTTAGTTGATTTCAATGTTCACCGTTAATTTATTTTGGCCCGATGTCGTTTTTTATTCATTAAGTTATGCCATGTTGTGCAATTTCCCAAGCTTGATTTTGTGTGCAATGACGTTAACAACTTCTTGTATTGAGTTATGTGATTGGTGTAAAAAACTATGTTTACATCATTACACACAATTAGGCGATTCCAGGAAAAAAAACTGCCAGGAGAACCAAATGCTCCGGCGGGGACGACCAATTTAGAATGATATTGATACAGGATGTTCATGTATAAATTTGGGGATTGAAGTGGTTTGAAGTAACCAGAGAGATGGTTTGATGTACGTATACATTTGAGGAAAAGATAAGATAGCTGGAAGGAGCTTCTGAAACTGAATTGTGTTGCTCCATAAATATTATCTGAATGTGTTCATGCTGAACATTTTTCTGTGCTGCAAGCAAAGTATCTGTAAGACATTTTTAGCCCGGGATACCAAAATTAAGCACATGTGTTACTATTTTAGGATGCACGAAAGTTAAAACAGTTTTTAATGAATATCTCCAAAACTAAGCACTATAAACCCTATGTTGCTTTATAGCTTGTATGTATATGTGGCCTTTGCAGTTAGCTAAAAGAGAGGCCCCTACAACGTTCAGAAGCCGAGATACATGTGTGTAGTCAGTGTAGCTTACGTTGCAATTATCGAGCTCTCTTATCTTTTGTGAATTGCGATAAGTTCAGTTTGCTGCTACCGCGTAGTTAGCCTTTGCGTGTGTACTTGTACATTCCTATACAAGTACACTATGGAGGATGATCGTAAGGTGACCCAATCTCTGGACTGACCTGAAGAACAGACACCAAACTGCATACTCGATTTCAATTAGCTTCTACAGTAGATTTTTTTCACTCTCGCCCCGGTGAAAATCAGCTTTCTGGATTTTTTCCAAAAGTAAGCATTTTGGGCCTTTATGACCTTTATAGTGTCAACATAAACATGTGCATTGCAGTCAATTTAAGCCAAAGTTTGAGTCTCTAAGACCTTCAGAAGCTGAGATACAGATTTCCCATATATGCGCCTAATGTGAAATATGGGCGTGGCCCCCACAGGGTTGGGACTAGCGACACAACATGTGCCGTTCGGTGATTTGAGTTACCAATGACCTATTTAACCCGATTCAGTATAAAAAACTCTATACATCGAAGTGCACACTCAACTCGTCCCTGCTACTAGAGTAGTATGCCTTATATTATGTTCCTCTTCTGATGCAACGTTGGATCGAATTCATCGAAATATATATAAGTAACTAATATCACAGATAAATTCGGAACCTTTCATTGCATCCCTTTTTCTCTTTCTTACACCGTTCAATAAGAACGGTTTTGTATATATTATATAACATATATATATATATATTTTGTTGCTGTACTCCTACACATTAAAAGTCGGTGTTGATTAGATCTTCGAAATAGTTCTTTGCATCATTTTATTAAACATCGTTATCTCAAATTATTTGTTATATAGTAGTGTTGAAAGTTTAAAAATATATATGTAATATGTATAATATTGTATAATATATGTTACATTATATTATGGTTTTTGTATGGATTTCTCCAGTTGGAAGATTGTTCTACACCCTGGAGGGGAGCTTCATACCACTTAACTCGCCGTTTTATTTGTATGTTATATTATATGTATTATGATCGTAGTGCAGTTTATATAGTTAGTTGCATCTTGCCCTCCAAACAATTGACTGATTGAACCTCTTTACCTAATCACTTCAGTGAGGTCAAAAATGAGACTAAGCTGCAGTCACATAGTTTTGATATTCTCATAATCTCATGTTGTAACTTCTAATGCTGACAGTTGTTGCATTAACCATGATTCAATTTCTTCCTTGACCACAAACAATAGGCTAGTGGTGCCTTAGTTAAGAGAGTTTAAAATTACGCTAACCCTCTTAAATTTCGGTAAACAATCTTCTGACAGTTCTACCTCATAATATCTGTTTGTTACAGCTTTTTGTATCTAATACAGTAATACCGGTATTCGGTTTATGTTGTCACAAACTTTCTAACACTTTCTGCCAGATATATACTGATGGACGACAAGGTGCCGCTTCTAATATCAGTAGAAGATGGTACTCTAAGGAAAAACGAATGGAGTCATGGTCTGTTTGGATGCACAGACGATATCGGAGAATGTCTGCTAGTTTGGTTTTGTCCCTGTGTATACTTTGGTTTAAACGCGCGGGACTCTTGCTACCCTGGTTATTGGTGTGACGGACGTGGTGGTGCTTTTTGGGGCTGCTTGGGTTTTTTTTTCTGCCAAGAAGCTGCGAAGTGTGCATGGGGTCTTTCCCTTAGACCCAAAATCAGAAGAGACTATGGGATCCAAGGTGACCGTTATTTAGACTGCTTGGTCGTTTGGTTGTGCACTCCTTGTGCTCTACATCAGGAACGAAAGCAGTTGAAAGAAAGTCTGCCTTCTACAACTCAAGTTGTTGTAGAGCAACAACAGCAGAACCCGATAACTGCAGTTCCGCAGTCCTATGCTCCCCCTCAACAGTCCTATGCTCGTAACTGAGTCAACAGTACGCTCCTCAATAGTATGCTCCTGGAGTCCCTCATCAATATTAGTGCGCCCCTAGAAAACAATTTCTCTTGGATGCCCAGCGTGCGAACTGATACTCACATCTTTAAATACAAATTATCGTTGAACAATGAATTAATTTCCACAATCTATAGTATGTTTTGTCTTTAGCCAAATTCTTGATATGCCCTGAATCTTGCTTAAACGATATTTGAAAAAAAAATGTATCGACATTAATGACGATTTTGTTTATTTTTGATTCATAATAAAAGTAGAACTGTAGACTGATCTATATTAAAAATTAATTAGATTAATTATTTCAGTGACAGACTTTATCAAATTGAAAAAACGTTCCAAAAAGAAATTTTTTTTTCGAAAGTGCATACTCTTAAAAGAATTTTTCAATGTATCAAATCTTATTGTTTCTATCTTTATTTTCATAATATGAAGTCAAGTCCCGAATCCCGGCAAAAAATGGTTTTGGTGTATTTCCCCTCAAAACTGCCTCGTTAATCAATACTTCGGTACGGTAGATTTCCTTGAGTGCAACAGCTTGCGGCTTAAAATTGTCTCTTAAAAGACGTAAAATTTGATTACATCGCGGAAATAGCGAGCCCATAGTATAGTTAGGGCTCCAAGACAGTTTAAGAGCAACCGCCTAAACAGTAAACACGTACATTAAAGCATCCTCTTCAAAAGAGCCAGTGGCAGAATTAAACTGATGGGTACAAAATGTTTTGTAAGGGGGATATTTAAACCTCGTTTCAATGGTATCGCGCAATTGGGTGCGATATTCTGTTGAGTATGGGGGATGAAAAACGATGCTTTTAGTGTATTGATCTATTTATTTATTCATTTTTATGGTTTCAGTGTTCTTACCTTATGTTGATGCCGTTGAAGGAGAACCTGATCCATTTTAGCAGCTTGCCCTTCAACTTGAGCCCGATTCTTGTACGCCTGAAAATGCAGATAAGAGTTATAAAACTAAATTAAATATCCCAGAACTTTGTTTATGTAAATAAGTCAAAGTAAGAAACCTTGAGTAGATAATATATAAACCTGCTGTACAGCCTTTAAACAAGATAAGGCCATTGAATCCTGAAGTTTCATGAAGAGCCTCTGAGAGTTACTGCTAGCTGTCGCCTTCGGTTTAACCTCTTTTTTCACAGTTTTTGGTCTATATCTCTGCGAGGGAGACTGGAATTTTAGTGTTAGAATTATAACATTGAACATTTGTTATACCAAGATGATTCAAGTATGCGGATTTTTTATTTACATGCAATGCTTTACCTGCGTTACAATGTTAAAATCTTTTCCTTCAAGTATTCCGTTACCAAAATATCGTGCACAAATAACAGTGGTCCAATTTTCAAACAACATAACACCTGAATTTCCTTGTAATGATTAGCGGCCTCCCTCACAACTCTCCCCGCCTCCCTGCAACTAGTGACCACATCTCTAAAGGTCTCCGGTTCTCTCAGAGACGTTCTCTCAGCCACCAAAAACAGGTCATCGTCTTCTCCCGTCTTCTGCAATGCGGCTTCTTGTTCTTGCTTTAGTGCGTCTGTTACTTTTTCTGTGGAAGGTTCTTCAGATCAGTCCGAATTTTTCTTAAGACTTTTTTAACAGGGTGTTGTTTTATAAATAAATAACGTTAAACATTCAGCTGTCCATGGCAGCAATTCAGTAGATCTTTAAATTACCTGAATGCTTGATAAATACATTTCCCTCCAATCCGGCAGTAAAAGGGACGGCGCCCCAAACTTTGTTGAACGAAGTTTTAGCTGCGATACTCTCCAAAAGTCTAGCAGAACTGATTCGGAAAGGAGTCTTCTCTCGGTCATCTTCTTGCTGTGAAATCAAAATTGATTATTAGTTGACCTTATGGAAACATCAGATGTCAATGAAGCCTATATGTAAGGACTCCGATCTAGCTCTGATCGACATTGGTTGCTAACAGGTTGCTAGGAAGACCACATGGTTAATCAAGGTATATGGCGCGCTTTTATCATAAATTTGTCGTCGCGGCACGCGCAAACAAAACATTTTCTGTGGTACGAAGAGGTACAACATCAATCATGCAGCAAACGATTTTCATTTCGACATGAATAGAATGCACCCCAGGACTTCAAATAAGATTGTCACATTCGAACTTAGCAAATCGTAGTAGATGTTATCAAATCTTATCACACAATAAGGCGTAAGCGTTTGAATTCAGGTCTAGCCCTCATCGTATTTTGGTTAAACTTTTTCTAAGATTTTACAAATCTAATCTCACATAAGACAGAACTAACTTGTGAAGGTGATGATCGCGGTCGGGCAGTTGAAGGTGGTCGGCTCGGTTCACTGTGTGTAAGTGGTGAGTAGATATCTGTGTGGGGTGGCGGTACACCCTTTAGTTGAGGGATGTTGTGCTTCATCCGCCAATACCGCTGTAAGCATACTGCTGCCCTGCAGAGGACAGCTTTTAGAATTGCAGTTAATCAACCCTCAAGTTATATTGTTCAGAAAACTACCGTGGTTTGTAGCATCAGTACATGAACACAACTAGATGTGTTTGGAGCTCCCTTATATTCATGACACCTGTACAACACGTAACACCTTTACAGAGCCGATATCATTACAAATCCCTACCAACCCTATGCTACAAGTATTACTATTGTTCCAAACTATAGTGTACAAATTATTATTATCACTTCGAGATGGCCAGGCCTACTCTCATGCTGTCTATATGTGATGATTAACTCTGAAAAACTAGGGACAACTGGGGAATGATCCCAGAACCTCGAGATTTCGCGTCTCTTGCTCTACCAATTGAGCTACTGACCCTGATTCTCAGAGCGAAATCACCACTCATATACAGCACAATTTCATGCTTTGTGTGGAATATAGTTTTATCAGTTATTTAGAATATATATTCGCATTTATCCACACTATATTTACATTACACGTACAACGTGATATCATTATCAGTGCAGTGTGTACAACACCAACTACACCGATCAATTGCCAATCTGCGAAACATTTTAATTATTATTATCACTTCGAGATGGCCAGGCCTACTCTCATGCTGTCTATATGTGATGATTAACTCTGAAATACCACACACTAATAACACTACCCACTATAACACACGATTAACAACATCCGACAGTGCCCACACCGGCATCCTACCTTGTCAAGATACTTGCCATTAAATCTCTTAGGTAATATCTAACGTCTCACGAAGAATGATCTAGATCCAGCTCACTACTTTTGAATTAATACTCACAAGACTTTTGTCACGCCACTGGATATTTCACCTAAGCTAATACAATATCCGTCCCTCTGACACGACATGATCTATACCGGGTGTGACAGGGGGCACCTTTTAGCAAGTAGTAAGCAGGACACGTTGCCAGAAACTACAAGTGAGGAGACGGTGGTGTTATGCAGGACTACCCCCTGCTGAGAGTTGAGACAAAGGGGGTCTGGAGCTTACTGCAAAACAAGGAGCTGAGACTACAGTGGAAGAAGCTGAGAGTATAGTGGAAGAAGCTGAGAGTACAGTGGAAGAAGCTGAGAGTACAGTGGAAGAAGCTGAGAGTACAGTGGAAGGAGCTGAGAGTACAGTGGAAGGAGCTGAGAGTACAGTGGAAGAAGCTGAGAGTACAGTGGAAGAAGCTGAGAGTACAGTGGAAGGAGCTGAGAGTACAATGGAAGGAGCTGAGAGTACAGTGGAAGAAGCTGAGAGTACAGTTGAAGGAGCTGAGAGTACAGTGGAAGGAGCTGAGAGTATAGTGGAAGAAGCTGAGAGTACAGTGGAAGGAGCTGAGAGTACAGTGGAAGGAGCTGGGAGTACAGTGGAAGAAGCTGAGAGTACAGTGGAAGAAGCTGAGAGTACAGTGGAAGAAGCTGAGAGTACAGTGGAAGGAGCTGAGAGTACAGTGGAAGAAGCTGTGTAAAAGTGGATGGGTATAGTCAGGGTTCGTGCAAACAAGAAATATTAAGAACTTGGAGATTAAGTAGGTACTTCATACTTGAATCAATAGGGCAGTCTTTCTGTCCGAAATGTAACCCTCACGGATCACGTGTTGGACTAATGGATATCTAACAGAGCGCTAAGTATTATAAGCATGATGAGCTAAACATAACTTTGTGGACAAATTGGCAGCTCTGTAAGATAGTGGAAATAGTGGCATTGACTGGTCCCAGTAGTCAAATTATTTTTTACCTTAATCTGTTTTTCTGGTTGACAGCTACAAAACGAATCGGGGTAGGCTTAGTAGGCTGATCTGCGAAACATCCCATAACGAAATATCCTTATCCTCGGAACTCTATAAACAAATAAAGCAAAGCGAGCAACCAACTGTACAATGTACATACAATCTTGGATCAACTGGGGCTTGATGGTAAATACCTATCTTGAGCTAAATTTATTGTAAAATACCGAGAGAAGAACAAGGAAATAGCATTTAATGTGAGTGAAAGTGTATCATAATAAAGCGTATCAGTTTGTGAAAAGCTGGCCATTCTAGATGATTATTTTGCTTGTTATTATCTTTGATTGTCTTTTACAGCACAAAACAAAAAACACGCCGCACTAAGATCGGTAGTGAAATTTACGATTAATAGTATTTTTCAGCTATCATCATATTATTTTTACCTCTCTCTTTTCTTGATTCTGATCACGACACAGCTGACTGGGGTGGGCTGTATTTCAAAACATCCCGAAACTTGAATATCTGTATTCTCAGGATTTTCAAAGAGATCAAGCATGGTAAGCTCATATATAAAGCAGCCGATTAATATTACATGTGATTCAGCAGTTAGTCCAACTAGTATTCAAGACCCGGAAGTATAGCAAGACGGCAACAAATTATCAAGAATTAATATCATCGTAATATGCCAAGAGAACATCTTAAAAAGAGCACTTCAAACTACTTACTAACTCATCATAATAATCGTATCTGTTCGTGGAAACCGAGCTCTATTTTGCTTGTTATTATTTTTTACATAACGAGTAAAAACCACCGATCATGACCGCAGTGAACTTTGTTTTGAATCAAGTGCCCTGAAGGTCCCCTGGATGTGTTTCACCACCGACAAAGAACGCATTTCACCACCGACAAAGACAAAGTAATTCTCTCTCAATACAGGGATTGTACCAGGTGGATATGGCGCATAATAATTGATAATATGAGTCTGATATTTGTTTCACTGATAAGCCGGGTGCCATAGTGGCTCCTCCTCCTGGATTTAATTGCGTTTCATGTTGGCACTTATAGAGTGCATGTTCATACTCGTTGTTATAAACGATAAGTTCTGAAGAAATATAACAAAATACCCCAAAATCACGTATATCTTCACCGAACAATGTAAGAACGAACTCTGATCTTTGAATTCGTTGTATAACCCAACCGCCAATTGAGCTATTGAAAAGTTTATGATCACTTATTCAAGAAATAATATTCGAAGATAATATTTGAAACAAATTTTGTACGAGTATTGTACGTTCATTTCAAAGTTAATATTACACTGTGTAGCAGTTGAGGAAACAACCCGCTGACTCACCAGTGCCTCAGCTCCCTGAGCTCGGCTTGTCGGCGTTTGTTGAGTTTCTGACGCCAGGCACGCTGGATTATAATGACGGGAGAATGCTTGCGGAGGATTCCTTCCACCACTTTTAATGTTCTCAAACTCTGACCAACTGCTTCACTCTCTGTCAAATCCTGGTGTAAATCGTGTTTGGATTTAGTCAGTTCGTTAAAAACTCATCAGTCATCAACGGGTACTCAATTATCCAAATCACTCGAGTTTGAAGAGTTTTTAATCTCGAGTAAAGACAATTTTATCAGTGAATTTTCATCAATCAAGCTGGATTATAAATTATCAAAAAAGCATCTTTTCAGTACGACTCGGACGGATCTGCTCACTAAAATTTCAATACAACTTTTCAATGAGACAAACTAATAAGAGATAAACCATAGTACAGTTTCTAGAAATAAAAGACTGTCCTATTTTAGGTTTCACAATCACAACGTTACTCGATTATCCGCGTTAAACTTTACCAATGTTCACTTGTGAAATAAATTATACGATGCATAACGTTATTTATTCGACAATGTTAAGTTTAACGCTGATGTTTAATTTACTTCTTGAAACTTTAAGTAGTCTTTATTTTTATTAGTTTATCACTCGGGCTACACGTACTCGAGTACTATTAATTGTATACAATTTTCTATACAAATATTTAGTCCAGTTTGTAATAAATTGTTAGTTTTTAGCGATAGAAAAATAGCCTTTGAAAAACATTATATATAAATATAAGTTATAACTGACATAACTATCTTTTAAAGTATTCCATTCATCTATCTGTTCAGTGTGTACTTCCATGAGTCCCAAAACATAATACAGGGTGTTTCAATAGTCTTGCAAAGATTTACTTTTTGAATAACTTAGTATCCATTTGCCTTAACTTGATTCTGTAAAATTAAAGAATAATGAAATCATGGCAAAACTTTTGAAACACCCTGCATGATTTGAGGAAATTCTTTACAGTACCTTTAAAACTCAAAAGTTTCTTATATACATCAACTTTGTATTGGTTGGAATTTTATTATAATAAGTATTGATATCGCACTGTTTAAAATTTGACCTAATTTGATGTTAATAATAATACTTAATTAATAACAGCTAAAAAGTAACCTTGGTGATGTAAGGTAGATGCCCAATCCTGAGGTCGGGATGATACGCACAGAATCTATCCTTACTGAACTTAGCATCTTCTATAACTTCTTCATCACTTACAATCAGCTGATCCAAACACTGAAAATCAGAATTTGTTAATAGTTTATAAAATATTGTTGATATTTACCTGAGTATTTATTTGAGTTTTGTTTAATATATATCGGAATTCGGAACATTAAAATATTGTTAATATTTTGTTAAAATAGCAAGCCTTGTTAATTATTAAATATTATGATCAATATTAAACTGAATATTCTGAACTTCTCGATTTTAATGTGAAATTTTATCGACCGTGTCCAACTGGTCACACTCAGCATACAGTAATTCTGAAGAATTATGAGAACATAATGTACAAAGCAATAAGACATAATGCACAAAGCAATTGAATGAATTTGATTTTAAACTGTATATATTCAAAAACTTTTTAGAGTGCACAGTGATTGCTTGAAGTGATGATCAAAGAACTTTCGATCTTATCTGCCGCACCTTTTACAATTTTTAAAAACATCATAGTGCTTGTAAAATTCACAAATATCACTATAAAAGTATGATTCTTTACAAAAAAACCCCACAATAAAGGTTGCTATCCGCATTGCATATTATTATGTAGGCACTATGTTATTAAACAGAAACATTTGTTGGTCATGTGATTCAATTTTGCACATATAGATTGCAATAGAAACGATAGGAGAAGATAATCTGACCTTGAGGCTCCAGATGGTATTGACTGCGTGGTGTCTGTAGTGTTTGGTAAGGCTGACTGGGGTATCAAACAATGTCAACACTGTTAATTCTGGGGATCCTGAGAGATAAACAGAATTTTCATCTGGGATTTTAGTTATTTTACAGAAAATAGGGGTAATCACTGAAACTTTCAACCATCTCGTTATAAAATACATTTTATTTTTGCGTTCTTCTGCAGAAGCCATCTGACAACACTAGAGTGATAGAACTCTCAGAATATTCTTGTATCAATATCATGCATTTTCAAACGCATTTTTAATCGTAGCTTCCCGTGCATGCACGTGATTTACAAATTTAATTTTACAAAACCACAAGGAAAGTTCATGAAATTCAAAGAAATAAACTAAAAGTTACAACATGCAAAGACAAAAGAACTCTCACCGATTGAAAAAGATGTTTTATCCACATTTTAATGAGAAATATCTACTTAAAGTTGGCTCACCTGCAAGTTCACTGAAGAGCGACAATTTACTTATAGCGTTGTCATGGAGATATAGGATTTTTAGAGATAACATCCTAGTCCAGTCGTCACATTTTGGTAATGTACTTATCTGTGGTGAATAGATAGTAACTCAGTTATTATTTCTGCTACAATCTGCATATTATGTCTTAATGATGCCATAATCATTATTTAATGAAGATGACAGCGAGGTTTGTCCAACACAGATGATGGAATAATAGAATGGGAATTCCTTTACGATAAATCATTCAAACTACGATAAAATATTGAAATTTAGTAAATTTGAATTTAGAACTTTCATTCACGATGGTGAAAAATCGCAATGCTTACACAAACTATTACATTGAAACTAATGAACAGTTATACATGTAAATTAAAGTAAAGCAAAGCTAACCTTGTTAGTGCTGGCATCAAGTTTAAAGAGGTTCCTGCACCTAAGGACTGGAGTCAGGTCTGTTATGTAGTTGTTAGCTATAAGACATACCGTCAGTGACCTCAGGGAGGAGATTGAGGTGATGTCATTCAGACCACACCCATACAAGTTCAGGTATGTCACACCCTGTGGGAGGACAATGTTGGATTATTATTGTGTGTTTCTGGGAGTAAAATTTATAGTGTTCCCGTTTATTGTGATAAGGAAAAGGCTCTTATCAGGATCTTATCAGCAATAAACGGGAACTATAAATTTTGCACCAGGAATATTACAAGAATGAGACTAATACATAATGTTCTGATCCGGATATTACACGTTATCATAATTTCTTATTGTTTATAAATAATATGCACTCCATGAATTCATGTAATTGTAAAATGTCTAATTGACACAGGCTGTAGCACAGATACCCAAGAGGCAAGATGATTGACTAGAAAAGAATACACTCTGGTAATAAAAACCTCAAAGCTGGTCTGTTGAGTGATAGATTTAATGTCCACCAATGTCAGTTCCTTTGTCGCCTCCTCGCCCTTTTTTGTCATATCTGCTGAATATTTGTTGAATTTCACTTTTTTTAAACCGTCCTAAACTTATTATCTATATATAAAATTGGCTTTTAGATCATGCTCATTTTAAAATGTATGAATGGAGGTTGCTGGTGCTGCCGGCTACATCCTTTTTTAACCAGTAAAGCTTTCTATCAAATTGTTACTTTTTCTTTATAATTTAAATGTTTAGTTTTATGCCCAAGCAATGTGCACACTATAAATCATCCATCCATGTCCTTTTAAACCCTCCTTTGTGTTGCCGATGCCTTGAAATCTCTTCTGCTGCATTAAAGCAATGTCATCATTGCAATAGATTTCGATCAAAGTAAATCATACAAATAATCATACAAATAAAATTGATTTTAATGTCATGAATGTTTTTAAGATGGAGGTGGCAGGTGCTACACCCTTATCACCCAGACTCCAATACAGCTTTTCATAAACTTTGTGCTCAAGCATTATGCACATATAAAATCATCTAAATCCTTTTAAATGTTAACATATGGGGACACCGGGACATGCTGAAAAAGTTTGCTTCAAAGTATTATGATCACTGCAGTTATAGTGGTAGAGAATACATTCAGCCATTCAATCGAGATATGTAATTTTATACTAAGTTTAATGATGTAAATCAATGCTGCGTCAAACACAAACCTGAACTTTACAAGCCTACTTCATCACGATTAAATAACATCATTGCATCCTATAATAATGATTGTTTGATTATAAGTGATTTAACTGTGGATTGCAGAAGACACGATTGAAGCATGAAAGTCAGAATGCATGAAGAAGTTTTGAAAATGGACAATCATCAAAATTGGACACCTTCAAATATTTTTTTTATTTATTTGAAAATTCAATTAATTATATATAAATCAAGCGTTACATTTCAGCCATGCAATTTTACAATTACACATTTTGATAACCTAATTTATAAATGGTACTGCAATATAAGCTGCTTAATGTTTGGCCGGATGACAACTTACTAAAAACTAACTAACTAAAAAGAAAACTAAACTTGATTACATAATAAATAATTCAGCTGAACCAACACATAGCAAGAGCCACATTAACGTTGGGGCCGTCTACCAAATTTGAATGACAAACAATAATAAGAAATCAAACATATCATAAATAATTATAAGAATTTTGTTCATTACAATTCTGTCACAACTGAGAGAAGAAAAATGAGGAAGACAAGCGGATAGGAAATTGGACAGACAGAATTGTAACCAACAAAAACACATTTCTGAGAATCATAAGACTGATGAGCAAATCTGGCCAGACTGTATCGGCAGCCCAAAGGTACTTGATCAGTTTGGCCTTAAAAGTAGAAATCCGCTCTGACTGCCGCGCCGGATACATACTGGTAGACTATTCCATTTCAGCATAGATCTATGAAAGAAAAAAACTTATGAAAAAAATATATGAACTTACCTGGGCCGAAATTTTGCAGTTTTGACACAATTTCTGCTTGACAAAATTGTTACGCAATAAGCAAAGCAATTTTGTAAACTGTAAAAAAAGTAGCTTGGCTTGAGCAAGAACATGACACCTACCCCCTACTTGACAAATTTGATCTTGATTCACGATGTCAATACTTCGCAGCTCGGTGAGGCACAGTGGTGCATCTCGCCGATCTACCGAAGGTTGCGAGAAGAATTATTTGATGCGCGGCGCGACCCAGTAGTGCATCGCGCTACAAATTTGATCAAGCTAGCTTCCACGATTTCTCTGAGCCAGATCTCACCCAGCACAACCAGAAACATTACCCTGAACCACCAGATCTGGATATCCTAAACAAGCTCATGTCAGAATCTGAATTGACTTCGGCCATCAAAAATCTCAAAAAGAGTGAAAGTTGCTCAAACGAATTAATATCCAACGAGATGCTTCAGAGCCTAACTCCGCTTTGTCTCAACGCAATCCTCAAAAATTACAACCACTCACTGCACTGGTCTCTGGTTACCATCCATGGCACACCAGTATCGTTACTCCTATTTACAAGTCTGGAAACCAGTGGCGTAACGTTGCCTGTTGGCGCCCCCGCCGAAAATGCGCCCCCCTGGCCCTGTTGGCTCGCCTAGCTATGCATGCTTTGTTGATCTAAGATAGGCTTTTGATACTCTATGCAGGGACCTCCTTCTGCACAAAATTATATGCCTTAGAACTGGTAACTTCTTCAATTGCCTAAGTGATATGTACAGAAACTCAACTGCTCTTATAAAAATCTCCAAACTTTTGTCCCCTAATATTGACATTGGCAGAGGAACCGAGCAGGAACATTCCCTATCGCCAGACCTTTATGAAATCTATATTCAAGACTTATCATATATCTCTCCTGAAATCTGTTGATGATTATCCAGTTCTAGCTGATTATTATTATTAAATCTAGAATATCTAATAATTTAATTAATTATTAACAGGCCCCTTAACGTGGGCAATAACATACGCTTTATAAATTATATAAACAAATTCAAGTCTATTTTCCGATTTTGCTGATTGTCTCTTTAGATCTGTTTCGGTCTTTCGTGGGAGTTAAGTTAAGTTCCCACATCTGCTGGTTGAGAATGCTCAACATAACATTCATGATGCTTAAGACTGCTTTATTGACCCGGGCAGGCACTGCTGAGGTCAGTTCTAGCTGAGGTCTTAGTATCACATATATGCTCTTGGCTGACGATCTTGTCCTATTTGTCCCAAGGCAAGACAATGTCAACCTATTCGACTTCCGTAATTTTATGATTCTCATATGGTGACATATTCACAGCAGTAACTTTGTGAGTTTGCGTTTGTTAAAAATCCAATATGACCCCAATCATTGAAAAATAAATGTGCCAGATTACAGATAATCGAACACTTGAGAAAAGACAATTTTGAGAAAAGACAATTTAATTATTTATCACCAATTCATTACACAATCCGTTTACTGGCAAAGCTAAAGATTTGTTTTGCAATGCAATTAAAACACAAATTTTAAGAGTTCTGAGATTTTAAGTTAAATATTATTACCTGAAGTAAAAGTCGCCTGGATTCCTTATTTTGGGCTCAAATAAATAATGAAATAATAGTTTAGCAGTTGAATGTTAAAAAATAAAAATAAAATTTTGCCCATCACCCATAAATTACTTTTTTTTTAATTCCAAGACTATCGATTTTACTGTCAATTTAATTTTTGTGAAGGTTGATTTGACCATTGTTAATGGTTTGGCCCGGCGCGCGCTACTTCGAAGAAATTTAGACGAGTATAATCCGTCAAAAGGTTAATTAACTTTGCCAATTCTTTTTATGTTTTAACTCGTAGATTTGATACGATTTCATCAAATTGCTTCGAAACGAAATAATTATTGATTATGAAAACGTACGCGGCGCGTCGAAGCAGCGACGCGACCTCAAACAGTGATGCAAATGGTTTTTTATACTAACTATTATTTTTCCACAAGATTTGTTGAATGTGCAACTACCAAAGCTAAAGTTGTATGTAAAAAACATTTTTAACCAGAACAAATTAACGATTTTGAAATTTTTTTTGTGCTGCGCATATTTTTGCTATGTTTCACAACCTCCTTCTTCCGTCCCCTTTTTTACAAATTGTCAACATTTGTACTAAAATAAGTCAGCAAACATTTCAGATGGAGTTTAAACATCGAGTGCCACGTCAAAATTATCATTTTACTTATACTATTATCATCATAATATCATATTAATTTGAATAATAATCCTAACTCGAATTATATTGTAAATTTTGATATTTTACTGTACTATTTTTATGTTGTATATAATTTTACGGACGAAATGATCTCAGGGGGGACTCCCAACCCACCGCTTCGGCGGGTAGTTGACGCACCTTTTACAAGCAAGAGCCACTTTGGTCTAATTATATTGTAAATGGAGTGGAACTAGAAGTATCTGCACAGGAAAAAGATTTGGGGGGTTATTACCCATAGCCCCTTGCTATTTGGAATGAACAGATTATTATTAAATCTAAAATAGCTAATAATTTAATAAATTATTAACAGGCCCCTTAACGTGGGCAATAATATACGCTTTATAAATTATATAAACATATTGAAGTCTATTTTTCCAATGTTGTTAAGTGTCTCTTTAGATCAAACTCCCTTCAGATGTCAAGAACTGTTCGACAGTTTTAAGCTTTAAAGTTAGATTGGAAGGATTTAAGATAGAAATTATTTCTAAAAACAGTGTAAATGATTCTTATTTTTGGACTGTTTCGAATGAAGTTTTAGGGAAAATTGAAGGACCGAGTTATTTAAGCAATAAGGATAGACATAATGAATATCTTTGGTTTCATCCTTTTGTGGCAAAGAAGCGTTTTATAAATCTTTATTCCACTGGGAAGTATTAATGAATTATTTATAGATAATGTATTAGATTTTATTAGTTAAAATTGAATTTATTAAATTATTAATGTTGATGGAAAAGTATATTTATTTAAAGTATTTTTCTATTTAGTGCAATGATATTTTGTAGACACTTGTGATGATGTTATGTCATAATCTTTACTTACTTACTTACTTACTATTTTATTTTGTACTTATACTATTTTGTGGGGGTCAAAACTTTTAAATCATTTCGTGTTTGTGCACAAGGCAATATGGTTTACAATTCCCGCTGTAGTGTATGGCGTATGCAATATGTGTGCTGTGGGGACGGGGTATTTTCACAATATTTTGGCAGAGTATGTTTTGATTTAACCCTCTGTCACTGTTTTCCTTAAACATTCGGTTCAATCCCTAGATTTCTTATCTTCCACACTTTTATTATTGAACTATTATCAATGTATTAGGTCGACAGTATGTATGATTTTAGGAAACTTGCTATTGTATAATCTACAACTAAATATAGTCCTCTGTGCCATCGGCATTTCAAACGAATCCAAATATATATCCTACATACTTGCCATATATAGCTGGATATATAATACAATAATACCTCCGCTACTGAGTGCTAAGCGCAATAATTCCCAACAGCTTGCTGGAGGGATCGCGCGGGCACGAAGTAGCGGAGGTATTATTTCTTATAATACGTTCCGGTTCCGATTGGAAGGGGTGTAATCCGATACGTGCGCATGATACAATATAGTGTCTAATATATAGAACGCCAGTGTTATTTGTTTTAATACTTGCCGCCAGCCAGTCTGAGTCTATGCTGATAATACCTTTGCTTCCCTTGCGGGAAAAATGTGCAAATTATCAGCTCTCGGTGTCCCCAAGTTTTAGTGGATATAATTCCCGGAAGGTATTATAATATTTACTGATTGTTGATATTTCATATATAATATTGGTAGCAGTGGACAATTTCCGTTACTTCTGTATTGTGCTCTGCCAATTCTACGTAACGCGCGAAAACAATAATTCTGTAGCGTTTTCATTGTCACATCTCACGTCGACAGGATTAAACGCGCGCGCGCGAAACAACTTATCTTTCTGCTAACTCAGCGACTAAACACACAACGACTTTGACAATTGACAGATGATTAAACAATTGTGAGTTATGACGGACTTAACTGTATGGGTCAACTACTGAAACTGTATTGTTTACTATCTTATTCATTATACTGGACTTGAGATGATTAAGTATCTTAAGCAGCACTTTATACCCCCCACTTAGAACTTGATTAGTCACGAACAATAGAATCATCAAAAACCAATACAATAAAAAATGTTGATCAATAAATGCCTAGCAGCACCAGACAGCAGCCGTGTACCTTTTTCGACTCCGTGGAGTCCCTGATGGACTTTTGTTTACTTTTGTTAATAATCGGACCAACCTTTCTTTCTCGAAACATGTATCCTATTGTATTTCATTATTGTATTAAAATGTAAAGATATACTAGATATCACAACGAAATAGCGGTATACCAAATTGGCCCTTGATATTAACCGTGTTGATGGTTTTACATTTTGTATGTTGTAAATATTATATTTTAGTTTGTGAAGCGTTTACTCCTCCCCCTCAGCAAGACAGTTAGATTGTAGATTAATGATAATAATTGTCAAATGACGTTATATATTATATAACAGTTATAAATGTTCAATAGTTGTACAGCGATTTCAACAGTAGTGGTCCACAGGGGTCCGAAAAAGCCGTACAGGCACTTGGGTCCTTATCCTTGTCACTAATCTCAATTGGATTCGGTTTACACAAAACATGAACATTTAGACGTACACATTGACACGATATTTATTAGAAAGCAAAAAGTATAAAATAATACGTGCGTGCGCGGCTTGAGCCGCGCCGCATAAGAACGGATGCGTGCAGGGGCTGGAATACGCTTGTATGTAAATTAATGAAATGTTGCATTATAAATATTGAGAATTGACGATATATTATGATCTAATAGTAAATTTTACAAAGCTGGCTTTGGATTTAGGTAAGATTATGATTTATTTAAAAAACCACGGATAGTTTAAATTTATTTCTATTTGACGTATAATCATAAACAATTTAATCCTGTTTTCAAGAATGCGCGGCTTTGGCGGCCAGTTATCGACTTATACATTAAATTGAATTTTAAATAGAAATGTGAATATATTAAAATTTAAAACTTTCAAAACGGAGGCTTATAAATATTATTATATTATGATTGTAAAATAAAGGATAAAATTTTAAATTTGTTTCACTAAAAATTTGTTTCACTAATTGCATCACTTGACTTAATTTATTGTATATATACTGTTTGACACATTTTATATATCTGGATATGTTTTAATCAAACAGTGAAACTAATCAAATTGATGAAATTGCGATACCATTATTCTGAGAAGGGGTCTTAGTAAAATACAGTAAATCTGACACGATCCTCCGTAACTGTATTTATAAATGCTTCATTTTCTTAAGGGGGGGGGGGGGGGGGGCCAATGGGTATTTTTTGTGAAACTTGATTTCGAGATAGCAGTTGACTAACAAACTAGGACCAATGACCGAACTTTTTTGTAGCTAGTGGTCTCCTGAATTCCTATATGAAAGTTCATCAAGATTGGACAAAAAATGACTGAGTTATGAGCCAAAAACCATATGCCCATATTTGGCGGTCAAATTCCAAAATTCTCTCGATATTTTGTACAAAAAAGTAGCAAAAATTGCTCTCAATGTTAATTGGCGTGAGCCATCAGTAAGAAAGACAAAATTTAAGAAATTTAAGAAATTTGTATTTACCACAAAACAATCAATACATTATGTTATATTCATAAATAAACTCAAATTTGAATTTCAACCATCTATACAGCCCGCCGCGCACACAGCCACACATTGTAAATGTGTATCGAGATATGAAATGGCTTCCCTTACATTGAAGGAGACAACTCCATCTATCGACATATAAGAATGAAATTATTAATGAGAGTACAGTACTGTCATCATTCACAAGTAAATTTGCCTATGTATCTGGAGGCTCACTACACGTGATGCTGAGAGGTGCAACCTGTATATCCCCAAATCTAAAACGCATAAAAGGTTTTCGTATTTGGGTGCGATTATAATCTTTCAACATATAAACCTTAAGACTCAAGTTTATCATGGAGTCTCAATCATTTGCTACTAGACTATTGAACTATTTTTCTTTTTGTAAAGTTTTAAATAATATTATAATCCATAGTTGCTGGACGATGCATAATTTCAATAATTAATAGTCCATATATTATAATGTAGGCATATTATACTGTAAAGTTTCAGGGTAAGCACTATTTTGTGTTTGCTGTCAACGGCTTTGTTTCTTCATTTGTTGTAAAATGATAACCAAATTAAAGTAAATGTCACGTGATCAGGATTTAGTGCACAAACCATACCAACCGCCAAACCATACCAACCGCCGGTTGGTACAGTTGTTATCTTTATTATCAATGCCCATTGTTTTTATTATTTGTTTTTAAATGCTATTCCAGACGAGTCCAAACAACCCTCTCTCTATATTTCAATACGGTTTAATTGAACAATAAAGGATATATATTTTTATGTTGCCATGGGGTGGCAAGTCCCCATACATCGTGGTCCGGTAGTTTCATTGTGTCTTCATATATTAATATCAAAATAAAATAAGAAATTAAACACCACAATTTTCATTATGTTAACATTTAATATACACCAGCAATGAAAGAGAACGAGTTATGGATCATTATAGTTGTCTTGACTCTAGCTTTAGAGCCGAGTGGAACATACGAAGCTCAACATTGCCAAGTGATGAGTGTTGATGTGAAGGAGGTAAAATAATGACTTTTTAAATTTGAAAACACGAACATGTTTTTTACAATAGCGGTTCAATATAAAATTAATCCTTTAGAAGCCAGTTTTAGACACATATTGTTTACACTTGCACTATATAGTTTGCACTATATTGTTAGACACATATTGTTTGCACTATAATATTGTTTGCACTATATTGTTAGACATATATTGTTTGCACTATATTGTTAGACACATATTGTTTGCACTATATTGTTAGAAAAATATTGTTTGCACTATATTGTTAGACACATATTTTTAGACACATATTGTTTGCACTATATTGTTTGCACTATATTGTTTGCACTATATTGTTAGACACATATTGTTTGCACTATATTGTTAGACACATATTGTTTGCACTATATTGTTAGACACATATTGTTTGCACTATATTGTTTGCACTATATTGTTTGCACTATATTGTTTGCACTATATTGTTAGACACATATTGTTTGCATTATATTGTTTGCACTATATTGTTAGACACATATTATTTGCACTATATTGTTTGCATTATATTGTTAGACACATATTGTTTGCACTATATTGTTTGCACTATATTAACAGAATGTTAATTATTATCAATTATTAACAGAATGTTTTACAGGAGCTGTGTACATTTAAATCTAACATAACCCATGTGCAATTCCCTAATTTTCTTGGAATGGAAACCCAGGTAAATCTTATACTTCACTGCAAAGTTCAATGCTAATCATTCTTTATTAGTTTCACCCTGAATTTATTATGATTTGGATTTGATTATAATTAGTTTGAAAAACACTAAAATTTACGGTAGTTCTTGATTGTTTACATTTAAAAAAAAAACTATTGGTGAATTTATTATTTACAATTATTTAAAACCTTTCCAGCAAGAAGCAATAGATGGTCTGAAAGGGTACGAGCTCCTTTTAAAGTCAGAACAACACTGCTCCAATTCACTTGCCTTCTTTTTGTGCCATACTTATCTCCCCATCTGCAATCCAGAGGATGAAAACACCATTATTAAACCGTGCAGGTAACTTGATAGATTATTATTTCAATCTTTTTACAAAGTTGCTACATCGGAATTTATATGACGTATTAACATATGTAATTCCAAGTATCTATTTCAATTTTCCAGCTCCACAGTCCACAGTCCACAATGGAACCTTATTAAATGGTTCCCGAACAGTATTATGTAACGCCAAATTTTACATACCTTCAGTCATGCATGATGGTGGCCGTTCAGTCAATCTGATGAGATTGTGTCTAATATTAAATATTTAAAGTAAATATTAAGTACTATAACTGTGCAACTTAATTACAGTTCAACACATCTACGGATCATTCACTTGTTCTCCTTAAACTTTCCAACATCAAAGGGTTCAAACGTATGATTCTAACATAGTCGAATTACTGCGTACCATTCAAAAGTCGATCAATGATCAACCTAGTGGTTATTTTCGATTATTAAGCTTAAGTTTAACCAAACTCGTAAAAGTTTTAAAGGCTGACGGAATACTGTATTTTACTGGTTTATCGCTGAAATGGTGGACTTACCTTATAATTTTGTTAAAGTTTGTCGTCATTATGCTAATATTATTTGAGAAAATCGCCGCCACAAATCCTGGATTTTATGGACTGCAGTTTATTCACTATTGTATGTAGATGAAATTCTTGACTATATAAGAGTATAGATGGATATATGCAATATTTTACATTAAGTTTCGATCTAGGATCTACCTGTATTACGAATCATCTTACATACTTGAAAATTAGAAATTAGCCTGTAACAGTATAACTCGAACGGATCACTGGGCCTCGTGATTATTCGTGAATTCCGTAACATTCCATCGAGCAGTGCACCAAAAAATTACCGTAACCATGGCAACAAATTCGTTTTCTCAAAAAACCCGCATTGCCCAGCACGATAACACGCTGTTATAATACAGTAATGTACTAAATATAACGTCTACACGTTATAATAACCTTCTCTAACACTGGCGACTATTAACCTACTCTCTGACAAGTGCCACCACTCCTTGTCGTACCACCCTAGTTCCGGGGTTAGTCCGGGTTCTTTAATTGACCTGCAATCTTTCCCCGTCAAGCGAGAATGTTTTGGCACCTCTTCCAGCTGGCAAGGCTCTGTTAATGTACTGTGAGGAAGGAGATAGAGGTGAGAATGTATTGGCCACTTAGCTTTTAACGTGGGCACTGTGTACCTGAGCTAATGTTCTCTTTCTGGAGATGTGTACTAGCTCAGGGTGCCCGGTGGTATTATTACTTTCTACAGGAACTGGTCACGTGATCTCGGCCCATCTGTAGCGGGTTCTAAATCTTCAATACACCGTCATGAGTAAGCTAACACAGCTAGCCCGAGCTAGGGCAACAATGAGGTGACTTGACTGACACATTAGACCGGGTTATGGATAACCGTCCCCTGCAAGCTCATGATCAGAGTGCTGTGCTGCGAGGAGGTTCAATGAGCCATTGTTCACGTTATTAGGTCTTGTCCGTTTTTCATTAAATAGCATTTTTCAACGTCATCAAATAGAAATCCAGCTGATTTTGACCTGAAGGAACTGACTATTTGGTAGCTAGGAACTTTCTAAAAATCTGCAAAACCGTGAATGCTCGCTGCTCGCCTACAAACTACAAAACCCCAAAATCCCCCAACTTTCGAGTACCGTGGTGAAGTATTTTCCGTGCCTCTCTCTCGAACCATCACATCATTACATTATGTAGATCAGATAACAAAGTTACAAAGTTGGGGAGACAGTAAGTTTGGAGCTGGTCATTATTCTCGCTGCATGTTCCCGACAACATGTAGTGACTTTGTACCTTGTACCATCCCCCGCACACATCATTCAACACTCTCAAGTATTAAATTTCAACTACACAGTACACACGTCTTGGTGTCACACAATGACATACCAGAGTGATCCTTGTGTAGTTATTTAGGCTCGTTTTACGATGAATATTAATACTCGGTCAGTGGTCACCTCACGAGGGCCTCCTGACTGCCCCGAACCACCCGGCTCCGGTTCTAATTGCGCCATGTGTTAGGAAGGTGTGTTAGGATGGATCCTAATTGAAAGATGGTATTATTTCTAATGTAATTATTGTAGAGGAACTGGATGGGAACGTAATTTATTCCTCTTCTGCGACTAGCTACAATCAGGGCAGATTTGTGACTCGTGACCGCCGTGTTGAATTAAAATATAATGTACTATTATCTGCTGTTATTATCTGCTGTTATTATTAAAATTAAAATCTATTTACCCGGGATAATATGTGGCATATTTATGAGTTATTAGCTTGTTGTAATTTACTCTCCTCCTCCAGGAAGTTACTAGTACTAGGGTGTGTGTGTGTGTTTGTCTGCCCAGTGCCCTACCAGTAACGACTGTATATAGTTCAACTGAGCAGTGCACTGGTTCCCTCATTACATCATACTTACACTGCGAATATGGCAGCAGGAAATTCTTGCAACACCCAATCACAGGACAGTATTCGTGCCACGTGACTTAATCAGTCCAATCAGAGAGGAGAGATTTACCCAACAAATACAAGTAGAGTAACCAGTGATACATAGCTATAAATGAGGCTCGTCAATACATTCTTCTCTCTTTGGGTATCGCCGGTCATGTTTAATTCACATCTTGAGGAGATCTGACAAATAGTGGAGGCCAGGAACAGTATATTGGGGTGCCCTAGTGGCTGGAATTTGTTTTAACAGCAACATCACCAGACATCCTTTGTCTGATCTTGTCAGAAGGTAGAGAGAGCTGGTGTTCTCAGGTGTATATTGTGTGTTTTGTTAGTTGTTATTTCTTCCTGGTTACACCCATATCACCTGCTCCATTGAGAAAGGGAGAGTTGTATTAAACCGTATCATGTTTCTTATTAAACACGTTCCATTAGCAATAGCATATAATAACAAGTAACTACTGTCAGGTGTGTGGGGTTGTAGACCTGATATCCTCATCCCCCAGACCATGTCACACTTCTAGACCCCCTGTGAACTGTGATATCACTACAAATACTTCTCTCTCTCTCATTATCGAACACATTATGTCATTATATAAGCCAGTGATATAATTCATTGTGATTTGACATAGTTCGAGGGTCTCAGTCATGCCTCTGAAATCTAGCAGCCTGATCTACAATGTTCTAATACTCCTCTAATACCCCTCTTGTTCCCCCTCTAATACCACTATTGTTCCCCCTCTAATACCACTATTGTTCACCCTACAATATGCTATCATTATACCAATCATGACAGAACAAAGCTGGATAGAGGAGAGCTAGAGCAGTTCACTGATCGTATTAAGATGTGGGTGTGGCAGGTGATGGGTCATCATGATATGATGACCCTCCCTGAACCCTGATATTGGTGATCTAATTAAGTGTGAGTTCCGTTGTAACTGGTAGAAAGGTGGAACTGTGGAACTTTTGTTCAGACGGAGATTAGTGAAGTTTAGAGAGAGAGAGCAGTAAAGTAGAATATCTGTGAAAGTGTTTAATTAGATATGTTTAGCGAGATATTATCGTCTCGGTGCACTTACTGGTACCTACAACTAATGAGGTGGGAACATTGTTGCCGTGTCTAAATGCCTGAAATTGAACTTCTGTGATGAGTGTAAGTATCAATTACTGAGATGTTCTGTATATCTTTGTGTTTCCTCTTTGAAATCAATACTTGATGGTGCCGATCGGCTTCGAAAAGACAAAAGCGTCCTAATGTTGCAAGCTACTGATATTGTTACTGAGTAACCAAGTTCAGTTCTGGTATTCTGGCAGTCATTCTTTTAACGTATCTAGAAATCAACCCTGACACCAAATTAACCAACCAAATCTAAACATTATCAAGACGTAGACGACGAATTTATGTCTTTTAGGAGGATTTCAAACTGTGACCAGAAATTAATCCATTACTTATCAGTACTCATCAAGTTGAAAGTAATAGCTTCATCGTTATATTTCTATATTTATTAGAAGCTGTTTGACAATCGTCGGATAATTTCTTGAAAATTATCCGTCAGTGATGATATCATTTCCTTCCATATAATCAGTTAGCAATAAATATTTGTGTATTTCCAAGCACCGCCCATGCCGACAGTCTAACTAGTTATGTTAAAATTTCTGAAAAGCCCTAGAAATATTTTAGCGGAAACCAAAAAAAAAGATAAAAGAATAAACCTTGGATTTTGAATAATTTAGAAAAGTTCTGACATTAAGAATATAACATTCAGTTCACATTGTACCGCGTAGCTGGAACTAAACTATCGTAAGCAAACTCTTGTCTTTTAATCAGATCTTCTAATCAAACTTTTTATCCCCCCCAGCCCCCGCCCCCCCCCCCCCCCCCCCCCCCCCCCCTCAGATTGTAAATGTTCTCTATCATTTCAGGGCAGAGTGCGAGATGTCAAGGTTTAACTGCAGCAGTCTTATGGTACATTACAGGTAAATTAGTATTAGATATTAGTCTTTTAATATTATATAATATACGGTGGCTACTACTACTTGTCGTTAATTACTTATATATACTTATATAATGTACACGATACCCTTCTCACTTCTGTAAAATCCTCCTTTTTTTTCTTTTTTGTACTATTAATTATTATACCCTTCATAGTAATGTTACTTTGATTTTGTCATCCAATCACTGTCTCTATACTGTTTACCCATTTTCATTATTCTCTCCTAACTATCTAATTTAAACGCAATCCCCTCAATATCCAATACCTCCCCAGCTACCCCTGGCCGGAGATCCTATCTTGTGAGAAGTTTGATTGGTTTACGGAGAGGGACCCAAGCAACCCAGCCGGAATCAGTAAAGTTTGCGCTGGAAATCCTCGTTACACTAAAGAGAACTTCTTCATTGAGTTCCCAGAAGTTATCAACGGCACTTACAATCACTACAATCCTGATAAGGTGAGAAAACGTTGATAATGTAACACCTACCACCGGTCTATAACCGGTTTATTACCGGTTATAGACCGGTATATAACCGGTTATAGACCGGTTCTATAGTAGAAGGTTTTGACTCATTGCCAGTAGACGTCAATTTACCGCAGTCAGCTGTCAGTGTTACCAGCCCCATCTAGAATGATAGTGTTATGTTATGTAGTGCTGTAAGTGTAGATAGTACCGAATATAACATACCTCAACAAAATCGAAGTACCGAACACCTTTGCACGACCAAACCGCATTACTGTGCCCTGAGTTTCAGTTACTTGACCAGTGGTACAGTCTGTACCGTACGGCTTTGGTGAGGTCAAATCTGATTTTGTTGCTCGGCCTACTTGATCGTAAAGTAGCTATTTTCAAGCTAGTTCAGTGGAGTAAAGCTTATTTACAGCACTGTGTCAATGTGATACAGTGTCCCATGTAACTCTGATTTGCGTGAGATGTTACTTTTGTGACTGATAGACTTGAAAATGGGGTGGTGGAGAAAGTTAGTTTTGACACTTGGTAACTGTCAAAACAAATTAAAGCAGCTTTTCATCAGTTTGAAATGAAATAGCATATAAAAGTAAGGCAAGCTCGGCTCAGGGGCTACCTTACTCGGGAATATTATAGCGGGTTAATTTATGATTGGGAAAATTAATGACCGGGTTTAAATATGGCGGAATTTTCCACCACTTTATCCAAGTCATCATATTCCCGAGTAAGGTATGTCTATTGTCTATTTGGCTAATTCACGTCATACATGTAAAATATGAATCTATTAGATAAACATAATCACGGAAACGGACGATTTCTTTGTAAGCCGCGCAAGTGGTCTGAACTGCTAGCTCCAGGAAATAATTCATTGTTCTAATTAATCTCTTTGTTGCCTCTAGACTCACTGTAACTGTCACGTGATATAGTTTCTGGACTTGATAGTAATTAATATTGCAGCTCATTAATAATCTCGCGATTGTTAAGATAAAGATGGTTATTGTAAAACGTGGGGCAGTCCCCAATCATCAATATTAATCATGAAGATAGCTCCGATAAGATAACTAAAATTTAAACACCGATAAGAAAAAACCAATTAATAACCCAATAAAGGGAATAAAATAACTTAAATAACTTGAAATAACAACTCTAACATCCTATTTCAGACTGATAAGGTGACGACTCCCGACCCGAAAGATTTCCGTTATAATATGTCGAACTGTGATCTGATTGGTCTGGAGAACAGCGACAAGACATTTAATGATTACAACTGTGGGCTGAAGTGCCATTCCAGCTACTATGGTCCTAGAGGTAAAGCTTCATCATCACTTTTTATGGAACATGACTTAATCCCTGGTACTGTTAACGTCCAGTCAGTCCAGTGGGATTGGTATATTCTCTCCATGTTATAGGTCTTTGTACTCAATGTACATTGTACATTGTACATGTACTTTGTTTGATCATCAAAGGAAATTTCTTAAGAAAATAAGATAGCAATATATAAGCTCTCTGTCACTTATCAAATGAGTGCCAAAATGCAAGCGTAGCCTGCTGCCTGAATTTACTCTCACACGCCGCTGCTTTACAGAGTTACATAACATTTAAAATAATCATTATTTTAAAATTAACACAATAATAACACATATTAAACAAACAACACATGTTAACATTGAATTAACCTCGTTAACATTCAGGTAACATAAATATTCTGAAACACTGGATCCTAGTTTGGGCGGGGCTCTGCCTAATCGCTACTCTCTTCACTGTCATGACCTTCATATTCGACCAACAACGTTTCAGGTATTAAATATATTCAGCACATTGTGTAGTCAAAATAGTAGTTCTGAAGCAGATGATGGGATATGTTCTGTGATTGGAGTATGTGAGTCACGTGGTGTGAATGTGAGTGTGTGATTGGTCGGTTGTTAGCTTGTGCTTGACGATTACCGAACTGCCTCCACTCACCACTGTAGATCATACTTTTTAGCACTATCTTGTCATGTGCTTGAATTAGAAAACCGCTAAAAATACTGTATGCTCGATAACTGAAATGCTGGAGCTCTGATTATTTTATTACACGTCAGATGTTTTCTTTAATTTTTAGTAAGCTAGATATCATATTGGAGCAACATTTGGCGCCTAAACGAAGCAGTTGCATCATAATACGTTGGGCGACATGTGGTTCATTTTCAAGAGAAAGCAAATTAAGAACCGCTGTTTTAAAGTTTTGACAAAAATCTAATTAATGAGATCGCTAAAATTGTGTTTAAAATATCATTTTTCAGATGAATTACCTAATTAGATTTAACTTAACTATTCAAATTATGACCTAATTTCAGGTATCCAGAGAGAGCGATAATATTCAGTGCCGTGTGCTATTTTTTCATCTCCGTAGGATTTGTTCTGGGCTATTTCTTCAACGATAGTATAGTGTGTGAAAACAGCAAGGACGGTAGATCAGTAATGAGACAAGGTATGTTAATTATGTGAATAAAGACACTTGATTATGTGAATAAAAATTCATAAAACAATCCCTATTGAAATCCCTGCACTTGGTTTTTTGTTGCAGATCTTTTTCTCGGTTCATTAGGGGACTGAAGAATTCGGGAGATCTAATTTAGACGTTACGTCTTCCACAATTTGCAACGATGATAGATTTATTACGACTATTATCGGCAAAAAATGATGTGATTGTGGTTTGGCAACCAATTTAAAGTCGCTATGAATTATGTTTATAATTATTTTTTTCCAAAGATGATTATTGATTATTAAGTTACAGGTCATTAGGTTAGAATCGCTAGACAGGAATAGGATAACGAGTGGTCTAGTAAAACATCTAATTTTGACCTATCAAAGTTTTCACTTACCGCTAAAAATCCATTTAGAAGTACAGACGTTGTAATTTTGCCAATTGTCCCTTAATGAACCGACTGTCTACTAGTTAATTTTAATGAAGCCATAAAAACAGTGACATGAAGAAAAAACCACTAACTTACTTGGGAGCTTCCAGAATAATTCCAAAATTTAGTGGGATTCTTATCGCAACGATTAATATACAAATAATTAATTATTTACTTGATCAAGAGGAAAGTGCTGAAACTTTCAAGTAGTCACAAAAGTTAATGAATTATATGCTGACAACTTGTTCATATTATTGCGGGGGAAGCCAAGGGGAATTTTGTGGTAGTTTGGGGAATGCCTTAATGCTTTAATGGATTTTGGAAAAACCCCATAATAGAGTCCCACAAAATTTCCCTTGGCTTCCCTCCTATTACGTCATGTTCGTATTGGAACCCTGCGTTAAGAAGGACGGATCAGAATTTAATACACCGATTGCACATGTCTGTTCAAACAGCACTGTGTTAATCATTTACAACATTTAAAAAAGGCTTTCTGATTTCTGAAGTTTTTCTCCGGTCACTCGCCGGAAATGTGACAATATAAAAATAACCATATCAAGAGTTAACAAAGATCACATGTCCTCACGTCATGTACTGTGTCTAGCAGTTAAAACTAACCAGCCTCCACCAGGTAGTTCAGAGGACGGTCCCTATCTCTGTTTCTTCCAGTCCTTCCTCATCTACTACTTCATGTTAGCCAGTTTTCTGTGGTGGGTAATACTCAACCTCACCTGGTTCCTGGCTGCTGGACTCAAGTGGGGACACGAAGCCATCGCTCTCAAAGCCAAATTCTTCCACGCAGTCGCTTGGTTAGTCGCTGTCTACCATGATTGTGCTGGTTTAATTATGATAATTATTTGTACCATATGTTGGGGCACGGTCATGTCACATGTGATATAAATATTACCACAAGTCCCATTCGAAATAGGCCTGACCCCATCCAATCCGTTAAAACTTTCATGGGACCTGATTTAATTTGCAGATGTCGTGAGGACGTGACCAACAATTTCAATGTTTAAACATGATTTTTTCAGGGTTTTGCCCGGGATATTGTTCCTTGTCATTTGCATCCGAGAGGAAATCGACGGCGACAGACTGGCGAACATTTGCTTCGTTGGGAACTTTAAAACTGGTTCTCTACAATACTATGTAATAGTTCCGCTAGCTGTATTCTACTTATGCGGTGAGCTATTTTGAAATCGTTTTGTTTACAACTATCGTTCAGAAAGGAAATGTTACAGTAGTATAGAATACTGATAGATATTTAAATGGTTATATACTATACGGTTCTAAATATATGTTTAGAACATCATAGTTACTTTTTTACAATTATTATGTATAGTTTTCATTCCAACTCAATCAGTACCGTACCAGGATTTTTCACAGGGATTAAACTTAGCAACAAAAACTTATGATTGAAGTAAAGTTGTAACGTTAATTTCGGGCTCCTCGGAGCACAGGGAACTTTTGGGAGAATGCTTTTTCATATTTTTACAGGGGCAAAACCCCCGAACTTTTAAAAAGATAGCAGTGAGTTATGAAGACAAAAACTTAGGAAATTGGAAAATATGCTTTTAGGAATGAAGTCTACTAATGAGAAATTCAAAATTTAAAAATTCTATCCGATTTTTTTATGGGAGGGATTCACGAATCCCAATAATTGCCCCTGGCTACTTGCCTGAACTCAGTACGTTTCAAATTCCTCTTATTCATGAGTCATCGTGCATGTCAGAACACTCAAATAGAACAACATGTCACACTTTGTTTCTGTCCTTGACTAAATGATCAACTATTTCAGGAATGACATTCCTGGGCCTCGGAATGTTTTCCATGTGCAACGTGAGATCCGAGTTGCACAACACTGGCAAAAAGACGGACAAGTTGGAAACCCTAATGATAAGGATAGGAATGTTCTCAGGTTAGCTGGCATCCGGCCAACATACTTTATAATTTGAAATATATTAAGACTGTGAAGTTTTAACAGATAGAGGAGATGGTATTTTCACATCGCACAGAAGTATCTGCAAATAAAATATTCGACCAAATGAAATCTAATCGTATATACATACAATAAATTTATCATTAATTCCAACTCGATTTAACCCCTGTTTTATGTCACTACTTAGCGTGTTTTACATGTTTTGCATGTTTTGCATGTTTTGACTAACAACTTACCTCCTCAGTTCTTTACAGCATTCCAGCTACCATCCTGATTGCTTGTTTCCTTTACGAACGCTTCCAAAGACCGAAGTGGGAGGTGGCCTACGTGAGCCACTGCCACAGCTACTCAAATCCTAAGTAAGAAAATTCATAAAATTTAAAAAACTGCATGTCATTGAGAGGTTGAAAGGTGTGGTTCCAATTTCGGAGACTAATTTATCACTTGCAATGCCGGAAATAATAATTGATAACCATGGTAACGTTTAAGAGACATTATATTTCAAGCTTGGAATATTATATTAAAAATGTCATTTTTGACGATTGTTTTGGGCCAGTAATTAATTTCCTGGTCACATCTTAGTCGGTCATTACATTAGCTGCTCCCATATTATTGGCAGTAGAAACCAAAGTATTTGATATTGCTAGTTTCAAATAAAGAAGCAAGGGTACCAACTATATGATTTCTTCTCGGCAATACCTTTGTAAACGATGAGCTAAATGCTATGAATCATCTATTGGAGTTGGGCTTTTTAAAAACAACATTTTTTGATTATCTCAAGATCCTACCATGTTAGCATGTTATTTTCTTGAAACTATCCAGATAGTAAGATTTGATGGGTAGAGTGAACCGCTGCCAGTGTCTCTCTTTTCCAAACAAAAGGAAATGATATTAATTTGAATAACCGTCCGCAAATGCAAATTGATACCGAGAATGAAATCGGACGCTCGCTTTTCCCATTCAATAAGCTTTATTACAATTCGTAAGCCGTGAATTTTGCATAGTGAATTTTGCATAGTGGTATTTTATATATAGTTTGATAAGCATGCAAAGTTTCAGAATATTTCTAAAAGAACTTGGATCACAACGGGACTCCAAAGTTGATAAAAATCGTGAAAATAACAATTTTCAGTGATTTTAGCAATTTTAAATCAATTTGGGCGTGTCCCCACGTGTGCAACTTTTCGATTTTCAACTTTTAAACTAGCCTATAACACAATTTAGACCTTTAGGAAGCAAAATTGAGCTCCGCAACCCAAGGGATAGCCCAACACCAGAAAATACTAATTCACAACTTTTGTGTTTTTATAAAATTATTCTTCAAAAAAGTACTAACGTCAATAGCGAATATCTTTATGAAGGAGCAAGGTAGGAAAACTTTCCGGTAGATTTTCAGAATGCTTGAACAATTATCTAAGGTGAAAATGTCCTCAGATTTTGAATAAAATTACTTCTTAATGGTGTAAAATCGATTTGAAAAGTTATTGTTTTGTCAAAAATCAAGTTTTAAAAAACGCTTAATTTTATGACGTCATAAAGTGCTGATGATGACGTTAAATTATTGTTTAATCTCTACTATAATTCAGACAATTCTTTTTGTCTGTATGTCTGTACGACCGCCCACGTGCAAATTAGATGAAAAATATGAAGTTAGGTATTAAAAAAAAGGTTGCATAGCAACGGTGTTTGAATAGTTGAATGAGCACGTGCACGTGCAATGATTGTTGGAACGGCATTTTGATCGGCTTTGTGGTAATTACGTTGTGTGTTTATAGTGTTTAACATTTAAATCGGCCGTATCTTCGGTTGCGATTAAAACTTTCTTTCAAATAATACTACTTATAGCTTCATCCCTGTTACCACGGGCTTTCTAGTATAATATAAACTAAAGTGTAAACGATTATCTTCAAGACATGTGTGATGTGGTTCTAGATGACTGTATCTTTTATACTTTTGAATCTACTGACACTTGAATGTAAGCTACAATTGACTGCCAAAGCGTCTATAGGTACATAGATACATACATATATATATGTATGTATAATATACTTCACGACAATCTGTTGTAAAACAGGGGTTCCAGAAAACCCACTTCCCGATACTCCTGAAACATGCAAAAAAAATTACAGTCGATTTGGTCAACGTATAGACGCCCTGCAAAGTTTCAGATCTCTAACTCAATTTTAACATGGTTTTTAAGGCACCTGAATATTATATATGGCGATTTTGGGTTTTTTACCGAATTTCGTATAACATGCTGGCGCGTATTTTGCGCAAATTTCTCAAAAACCTCCACATAACTATTTCGTATTCCTGTCATCTTTAACATTGAATTAGAATGTTTTGAACTTAAATATACATGCTGAACTACTTTCGATGAGTCTTAATGCCTGAAAAAAAAATAAAGGGGATATAATAGTATAGGGGGTAAATAGTATTGTGAATATAATGGCAACGGTAATGCTTGCCAGCATTGTGATAAGACTGATAATCAGTGCAAGTTTAGGCTAATTTCTATGCGTCAAATTCGAGATATTACTTCAAACACAAGAAATTTTCTCCAAATTAGCGAATTATACAGAACACAGACAATTGTTCAAGATCATACAATAGTTATTTTCTTCTGTTAGAAGTGATATCTCAAATTGGGCGAATAGAAACTTGTACATAGTTTCAGTCTTGTACTTATCTTACTATCTGGAAAGTTTGAAGGAAATCGTATGGTAGGATCTGGGAGATATTTGTATTTGTTTAAACCGATTGATTTTCGGCCTTGCAATTTGGAGCAGTCTTGTCGAAAGCCCTTCGGAACTTTTGGAAAATTGGTAAAATTCACGTAGCGCGCAGCGACCTTGCTTCGATTTGAGAAGTAACTGTCAGTGTTTTGTTAAGCGCGCGCACGCACGTCACGCGCAAATCTGGTTGTTCACATGTTGATCATGATAATAAACTGTACAGCTGTGGGCTTTATTTCGCATCTCACTCGCTATAATTTATACCACATTGCATGAGAAGTAAGTAAACAATGGTAAAGAAACTATCGCAGCATACGGCATCTTGAGGTATGTGCAACGTGACATATATTCTCGTTATCTCGTGCTTGAAAAGTTTAGATTCAGACCAATTAGAGGTAAACACCTCTGACGGTCTTTAGGTATTTAATACGCGTAAAACATGGAAAGAATAAAGATGTAAACTAAGTGATATTTTACTTAAAGGATCAAGTTTGAAAACCAATCATGATTAAGGGGACATACACAAAAACCTTTTTTGGTTGGAACCTCGATTTGACTTCATATTATAAAAATATAGATTAAAACAATACGATTTGACACATTACAAATTAGGTTCAATAGGTAGGTAGGTACTACAGACTTTACCAAGGGGTCGTTCACATATTACGTAATTAATATTTTACCCCCCCCCCCCCTCTAACAGTAAAATTACATAATCATGGCCTGACCCCAGTGGCGTAACGTTGCCTGTTGGACTGGAAAACGCTTTTCTCTACGTTTCTTGCTACCCTGATCATTTAATGAGCCGAAATCATTGTTATGATATCCGGCCAAGCACCTTCCCAACTGGCAACTACTTACTTTAGCAGATACCCGATCCATTCCTAAATTTTATCACTATCAGAGTGAAATTGAGAGGAATTTGAATTAAAATATTGTCAAATTGTTATTATTCTAGAGGGTAAAAAATAAAATTTTGATTACGTAATCAATAGCCAACTTTCTACTTTAGGTGACAGGGTATTGTAACCGGTATGTTTTCAGAAAATGCGACTCGGCTGAATTTGTAGCGGACGCCAATCTTCTTACCTTCAATCTGATCAAGTACCTAATGATGCTTGTTACTGGACTGTCCACAGGTAAGCTACACTGATTCGTAAATATAAGACCAGATAATGTCTTTATTCGACTCCTTAGATGTGATACTCTTCTCTTGTTATTCATCGTTGAACTTTTTGTAATAAAATACATATATTTTATTACTATATATAGTATATTATTAATTATAGATATAGTTATACTAAGTCAAACATCTATTTACCGAGCTTATATAATATATACCGCTTAACTCGATATACACATACGCGGCCTCTCCTTTTCCCCCAAACTTTTAGTTAATTAACTTGTTCTGTAGAAGAAATGTGATCATAGCTCATATACTAAATTATTATATCGCATTCGGTGTTGATTCGAGTTCATATTCCATCACAATACGAGTGCATATTAGGCCCTAATGGAATACATGAGAGGATTGACAGGTTATTTATCAGACTACAGCAGGATCGAAGAGAGATTCTTACCGTTGTGAATAGATCGAATTAATCGCAAGAAATATGAGGAACCTAGATTTCCAATACAGAATTTACTGTGCTATTTTGAAAGCACCAACACTTCTCTTTCTCCCATTAATTCAATAGAAGCGAACTACTGACAAATGACCATTGGTGCTGACGGCAAATCTTCTCTGAACAAATTCATTTCTCACAATTTCGTTTGTTATTTAGCAGTGAAACCCGAAAAACCGTGATAGGACAGCAGAATTAGGTTTCTACTGACAGCATTGCTACTGTGCACATTACAAGTCTAAGAGGAGTGGGGTGCCGAATATAGAGGAGATATAAACTTCACACAGGGAGACGTCGCGGCCCAACCATCGAACCGAGACCAATAATGCAGCTGTTTGACGCGCAACGGTGGGCTATTAGAGATATTGTGGACTTAAAAAGCCATCCAGAGGGGGTGAACTATAGGTTTGATGACGACATTATCGAGTGTGTTAGAGACTTATGAGATCCAAAAGCTGTGTTACTCAACTTCAGATAGCATCATCATCTACAAATCCTTCCTGCTAGATTGACACTGCCTGGAAGTATTTGAGTATGAGATCTAGAAAAGGGCACAAAAATAATATCAGAAATTCAGTGTGATACTGGAGGGCTCTTAACTTCACTTTGTGACGAGGAAATCTTCTTGTAAGGAGAGCACTGTGCCGAATATGCGCTTTTTATTATTACTAGAAAACCTGTGGTCATAGAGAAGAAGCTAAGAGCATTTTTATGTCCGCTTTTAACAGACCCAACAAATGTTCATCCTAATTGACGACAAAATGATCACAACAAAATATGAATGGAATTAAATGAATGATTATCAAATAAAATCTCTACACTATATTCATTAGATACTCCTTCTTTTTCTGTTTCCGCTATTTAAATCTTTTTCATAACAATAAATCCTAATAAGATATTCATTGTTCTTCGTAATTAAACTTAAAAATAACTTAATTTTAATTTCTATGAAATGACAGTCTATTGTCAGTTGAGTCCTAAACTTAAATTTTCAGGTTTTTGGGTTCTACTTTCGTTCAAGACAGCGAGTAACTGGGCCCGACTCCTAAAATGTGGGTTCGGAAAGAAGGGTTCTGAAACTGCCGTTTGAATGATCTTACGATTTTAAATTCTCTACTTTTGATCAAAGTTACTGTAACTCGGCGGATGCAACTCAAAAACAGATAGCACAAAAAGAGAAGAAGAATAATATCTGTCACGGGCGAATTGAGAAGATACTGACCCACTTTATTTTCATATCATAGATTTATTTAAATTGAGTATATTCTTACCGAATTTTTAATGTAAAACCGATTTAAATTCAGACTTTTTTCACGATAAGATTTGAATGTGAGCATGAATTTTAATCGAAATTTTGTTTAACGAATTCTGATTATATTTGTGTCGTCCTTCTCGAGACAACATTTTCTATTAACAACCCGAACTAAACTGCCAAATTCCAATCCATTGGATAAAACCTAAAAAATGTGGCATTTATTTGCATATTTTCGTTTACGTCTCACGTACGGTTTAGCTCATTTAGTTGATTTTAATTTTTGACCACTCTTAAATTAGGTGACGCAGGATTAACTTGCAGTAGACTGTGGAGAGTTAGTGTCAGTTTATGCGGCACTTTTTTAAAGCAATAGCATGTACTGGGCCAATGTTCGTGATAAACATGTTCTACATATAGTTAGTTATAGGCTAAGATCAATTAACTATACCCCATACCGAGCAAGAATTCTTGTTAACTTAAATTGTATAGATCAAGATGCAACAGTATTTTGAAAAGAAATTATTGTGTAATTGAGTGGGCTGTCACCTCTTTAATCATGGCTTTGTTGTCATTAAAATGTTATACGTTTCAGTTTTCTGACTTTTTAAAGCAGTACCTAAATCTTGATGACTTCATCTGAGAGATATCTGGTTCCACTCTAGTTCCATCTAGAGATAATGTTTAATATTTGGACAGGTGAATTATTTTCTTAATTATCGTGTCCGATATCAGTTCTTAAGATTATTTAAGCAGTGGTTATTGCTTCTGAATTTCAAATATAATGTTTTACTTTGTTTTGTATCTTGATGACAATATCATGTCATCAAAGAGTGAAAAGAGCATAGTGAAAATGCATTATATTAGTTCTATAACAGTAACGCAACATAAGCAAAAGGAGGTACAGAGCATTTGCAAGTGGCCCACAAGTCTAGTCCCTAATTTAGGGTCGACACAAAGTAACCTGACTATTTAGTCGAGCGGCCGCTCAACATCCCCGTTTCTGCAGTTACGGTTTCTTAAGGCGTGCTTCAGCCTTCCTACATCATCAAGAACTAGACTACAGCGGTGGCAAACCGTCGCTCGCCAGACTATTCTGTTAATGAAGGCCACAGTTAGCTCTTGCTCTGTACCCAGCTGCATGAGACAAAAGTTTTATTTATACGATGCTAAGTTTGAAAATGTTTCCTTGTAGGTGAAAAAACCTAGAATATGATATTTCCATGTTGATAAAGTTCGCTAATCACAAGCCATTAATGTTTCATGTGTTAAAAAAGGAGGTGCAGATCATTTTGCACTCTCATGGTGGCCAATGCACATTGCACAATGACAGCCGGCCAGATTCTTGATTTTGGGACAACAAGATTTTGTCCGAACTATCGGAGTATAGTACAGTGAGTCGAGTCAGTTGCATCTGTCGAGAAGAAACTGACCCATCTGCTTTGACTTTGAGCATACTGGACGGCGGACATCCCACATAATCAATATTCAGCTGTGGGTTGACGGATGTTACTCGTCTAAAATTCTTCGAAGTAGTTCGCGCCGCTTTTTTCTCGAAATGTTGGCCCGATGCATGGCAAGTGTACTACGAAGTAGCGCGAGCCTTGTATACTTATAGCGCAATGCGCTACTGTGCCTCACCGAGCTGCGATGATGGATGAATTAACATCGTCAATTAACGCGAGCCGGGCTAGTCCATTAACAATGGACAAAGCTGAGGGCTGCACGTTGCACGTGTTTTTACTGCTCTGCGCCCAATTGCAAAATGAGCAGTGCCAAGCTAAAGTTGACCATAGTTAATGATTTGGCCCGGCGCGCGCTACTTCGTAGCACTTGCCATCGGGCCAACAATTCGAGAAGAAAGCGGCGCGCGCTACTTCGAAGAAATTTAGATTTAGACGAGTAACATCCGTCAAAGCTAAAGTCAAAAATATTTACTACAATGAGTTACTGAGCGGCGCTCAGCCTGTCATTCCGCCGAATCTCCATTTTATGAACATTATTATAAAGCTCTCAGATCATGGGTCCCCTTTGCTACACGTTGTATATCTCTTGTGCACGCGAAGCGTGCACGCCGGCCGGCCGGCGCTTTACTTCGCGCGCTATCAAAAGGGGTTGCAGCGTGTGTCAAGGGTCCCCAGGTAACAATCGCAATCAATTTTTACTTTTGCTTAAAAAAGAACGAGCATGCTAAATTTGTTTCATTTCGTGTTCCTGGCCTCATCGTCACTCATTTAATTGTTAATAAGTCATTTTAAAAAGCCACGATATAATGGTTGAGCGGACTCGATCAATCTTGCGAGGCGGAACCAAAACGTAAGTCATAATATATAAGTGGTAAGGCAAGTTCTTGGAATGGGATCATTTTTTCATTAAGTTTCCTTGTAATGTGTAAGTCTACAATTTACTGAGCGGTGCTCGATCAGCCTGTCAGTAAATAAGTAAGTGAAAATTTATGACATCACATCATCCGCTCGATCCTACTAAATCGCCCAAATTTTAAAAAATTCTTCTTCTTGTGAAAATGCCTTTTCTTTTGGGAATGAAATTGATCTCAATCGGTGTATTTTGGACGCTGATTCCGAATAACCCCTCATATCATGCATCATGACGTAGGGTAAAAATGCTTCCCTGGAGAGTTATGGGCAAAAAACCGTTTTGGTCACGTGACAGGCTGCGCTATGCCCGGGTTAGGGTTGTGGTAAGGGTAATGGATAGCTTTTGGGTTATGGTTAGGGTTAGGGTTGGGATTTGGGTTTACGTAAAACCGTTTTGTACGGCTGCAAAACAATAAAAACAAAAGTCACGTGAAATTTTTGGTCGAGCGAATTAATAAAAGCCTACATCATCACACATGCATTATGTGTTTACAAACTATCATTGCACTTTGATTCACGATGTCAATTCTTCGCAGCTCGGTGAGGCACAGTGGTGCATCTCGCCGATCTACCGAAGGTGGTTGCGAGAAGCATTATTTGATGCGCGCGCGACCCAGTAGTGCATCGCGCTACAACATTGCACTATGAAAAAAATATATAATAAATATTTCCTTGACATACGTTGCATGCTACTTTTCGCGCGGAAAAAGGGCATACAATGATATTTGTGATACGCGTATCAGAAATATTATTGCTAAGCCTACAATTACTTGGAGGACTTCGCCGCTTCGACGCGCCGCGCGAACTAGCATTCTTGCTTCGCAACGATCTCGATGGGTTGACATCGTCAACCAAACAATTACAAATTATTTAACTAACAATAACTACTAATCAATCGTATGTTTGTTTTTTAGTATTCTTATTGCGTAGTTTTGTATTTACGTATCAAATCTATAAAATTAAAAGAGTGGCGCTTAGTCTAATGTTCATTGTTGCAATTAAATAGATTACAATTTTAAAATACACTAAAACAGTGCGCTTGTTGATGACGCGCAATGCAACTGAAAACCACGCGTACATCATCGGCTGAGCTACTCCGCAAGCATTGATAAATTGTTTTAGCGCCAAACGTTCATTGCTATAGTTTGAAACATCAGTGTAGCTAGCTCAGACCCTAGTACGTGACTTCTTGAACTTCCTTTGTACGTGAGTTTTCATCTGAACGGACATTTTACTGTCACTTCTAATAACAGTTCGCTAGCTGATGTTTGACGTTCTCAAATTTTGTTCTTTCATTCTGGAATAAGTAGTTTAGCTTTAGATAACTCCGATCAAGGATTTTCATTGCTTTATTTTAGCGATCACCAGTTTATGATAAAAGTCAACGGCATTATTCATCGACCTAATTCACCGCTTTGAAATTTAACGTTTTAAAATCCTTTTATTGAAGTTTGATAATTTTAAAGGATCTATTTCTATGATGACTAGTCGTGTACGTTAACATTCAATATGTATAATCCGTTTACTCTAATGCCTCCACTTTTCTGGCTCTTTTCCTTGTCGAAAATAAAAGTGTCTCATCTGATGAACTTCTAAAAGATAAAGTTTATCTGTTTATTGATCGTAATTCATTCAGTTGCAGCCACCATGACCCAAGTCATGTTCCACGTCCTTTTATTCCTCTCTGCATTTGCCTGTGAGTACTAAAGTTTAAATCAATACCTCTTATTTCTAACAATTTTGTAGATGTTCTGTATAGCTAGTTCAAACTCTGTGTGTATATGTTATTACAATGTTATAATGCTAACGATTTCAGGTTTTTATAGTAATGACATCGTGCTAACCGTGAGCCCATCAATGGATGATGGACCCATCGTCTGGAAACAAACTGTGACCATTTCTTGCAACTGGACACCCGGAAACCGAATGTATGGAGACATGGTTGTGGGAGAAACATCTGAATCCCTATATAGCGATGGACAGTACGGAGAAATTGTTTCCCTCGAAGGTAAAGTACAGTTTTAAGTTCGTCTTACCTGCCACATTCCCTGTTTAAACAGATACATCAACGTTCGTTTTGGTAAGATAACGCGTGTAGTGCTATGAGCAACTATTACTAACAAAGAAGCAATAATGCCTATCTTGATTAATAATTAATAAATGCTATGAAATATTTTTAAGCCGTTAAAACAGTTTCCTAAATTTTCAGATCCGGAACAAAGAATTTACTTCGTTTCTGATGACGATATTGGCGAAGGTACCCTCGTCATTAAAGATGTTACTAGCGCTGATGCAAGGCAATTCGGATGTATGGTCTCTCGTAAAGGAAATTCTAACAACATCAATCTTGAAATCATTGGTAACTAGAATTTGCTTTTTTCTGTTTTTATTTGGTCCCGGCTTTTATTTGAAACCTTAATTGTACACACCAATATTTTCGAGCATTGACAAAGCTTTCAGAGCGTATATCTGTCAAATTATCATTGCATCTTGAGGGCACAAATAACTCTTGACTGATAATCAATAGTCATGTAAATCTGTTTTAACCAAGAAACTTTGCAGAACCCCCCATGGCTGGAGTAGTCAACTTTGTTGCTGTCCCTGAATTTACCACCGTTGATCTTACTTGGGATGTTGTAGAAGGAGCCTCTAGCTACAATGTAGGATGGCAAGCAGTTGGTGCTGCCGACTGGACCACGGTTAGTTCTTATTTCTTGAAGAAATTTCTGTGTGTTGGATATAAAGTAAAGCTGTAAACGTCGAAACAGTCTTTTAGTCAGTTTGTTTCCAACATACGGCAAATTGTGTAATGTACAAAGATCTGTGATATTGAATTGAACTTTTCTCGAGACGGAACGCAGTGCAACAATCTAACTAAGGATATTACAGGTCGATGTTGCAACCAACTCTCACCGATTTGAAGGTCTATCTGTTGCCTCCAACTTTGTGGCCAAGGTAGATGCTTCCAACGCTGCCGGAATTAGAGAGGGAATTGAGCCTGCTGAGACTTCCTTTACCACAAAGGATAACCGTAAGTCGTTTACTTTTAGACAAAAACTTGTATCTTGTGAAATAAGACATAGATTGCAATAGAATAATACAAAATGTTTAAATGCATGTGCAGTTAAAGTAATTTAAGTTTGTTACGTCTGTTCTCTAACGGAATGATGAAAAGTTAGACCTGTCAATGCTCTTTAATTCTTTTATCGTTATGAGCTAGAGCTTCAGTTCTATGCTACTTAAATTGACAAAGGTGCATGGTGTCTTAATTTATTTAAAACCTAATTGATCCTAATTTAAAATATCCTAGAATGTCGTTTAACTAATTGTAAAACGACTCAAACCAATGCCTCTTGTTGTGATCATAGTAAGTCAGGATTCTTTACTCAAAATTCGATGATTTGGCTCAATCGACAATCCTACCTATCATTTGAACAAACATATAACATCCGAACACTCAACTTTGTTCCTTTTACCTGGCAATTTACAACAATTTCGATCACTTTTAGTTCGTGTTTACATGTGTAGCTGTGTGTACCAATTGTTGCTGTTTTGTGTTCAACATCTATTAACGTCTATTTATGTTCTCCTATATTATATAATAATGACTTATATCGTCAGTACTACTGACCAGTGACTGTGATCATCCTGTAAACAACTTATTACTATTATATGTGTTCTGACCGTGACTTATTTAATTCTTGTAACGAATACCCAGTTCCTTGTTAAACCTCTTTTTAATCAAATAAAACCATTTTCTTACCTAATGATTAAGATTAGTCATTAAAATGCATTCAATTGTCTTACGTTTTCACATTCTCTTGATCTATGTGTTTACGTTTTCCTGTTTGCACGGATAAATCACAAAACATTAACTATTTAAACGTAAAAAGAAAAGAAAACTCTTTTTGACAGTGCTCTCAAATTTCCTCGGGGTCGGAAAATGCTGAATTATTTAGTTATTTATCTTTGATTCTCTCTGATATCGATATAGAACCAACTTCTTCCTTGTTAATCATCAAAGTGATGTTCTTAGCACGAATCGTGATTGATGAATGCAATGGTTATAACGATTCATTTTACTTACTAAATATCTTACATTATTTGATTTAAAGTTCAATTTAACATCCTTTAAATTAATATAACGATACTAATTGACAAATGACAGACTACAAGACACACTCATATAGCTAAAATCAGGTGAAAAATCGTCTACTGCTCCACAGAATGATAAACGAAACGGTAAACCCTGCTGTTTTTCTCAGAGGGTATAATTAGGCCGGTAGCCATTGTTCCAAACAAATACGGTGTACACTGTTCACTGGTACACTGTACAATGTACAGGACCACTTCTCTCTACTTAGTTAGGGCATTATGAATTGTCGAAAAAACAGTTTGACACCTCCTTTGAAGTTTGGGCCGAATATACTGGGAAAAACCATTATTTCCCTTATTCAGCATAAAGCTTTGTACAGCTTAAGTTTAAGGTAAAAAATCTAACCGACTACATTTGACACCGAGCTTAACCCTGATTACGATAGATTACCTAGATTGACGCATGGGTTGATTTTAGAATTGAAACAAATCGTAAAGGGGCGACGTGATGTCAAAGCACACTGTGGCCTAGTGCCTTATTTAGACAATTTGAAAAATAGCCTAAAGCATTTTTGCATCTCTATGACTTGTTACACCGTAGTCCCTACAGAGGGCCTAAGCATAAAGTCGAAAGGGAAATTTTCAAATAAGTAATGAAATGCTCAATTAATGTGAACTACAAATATTAACCGCTATTGATTAAATTTTATCCTTTGTGCTCCATATTGCGGGGGGGGGGGGGGGGGGGGGGGATCATACAGTACCTGATCCCCCCCCCCCCCCCCCCCCCCCGAATATTGAGCTGGTACAGGCAAAGGTAGTCTAAAATTACCGTAGTCAATTCTTACCCTATTAACAGCACGGTGCGTTGTCAATGAAATATATAGAAATTTTCTCCGAAAATAATAATAGGAATAAACTTGACAATAGCACTGGTGGGGGTGGAGCATGATAATTGGCCGTTGCATGAAGCTGATTGAATAATATGCTCCACATCCCAGCCAGTGGAAAACTCAATGCAAATGGGACAGAAAAATCAGTGATCAGTAGATCTTTCAGAAATCTCGATATCTTTCCAACATTGCAATATATATTTGATTTCGCATGGCTAGTTTTGATTTTCCTATATATGATAAGAAGTTCAATTTAACAAGCTATGGTCTATTTTTCGCTTGAAGCACTAGCGCTTTAAAATGATTTGGTTGCTGTAAATGGAGAACGTATATTCTGTGAGGAATTGCGAACTAACGGACAGACGGACGGACAGACGGACAAACGAACGAACAAACGAACAAACGAACAGATTTTAAACAAATAACCGTCGACTGAACTCTGCTGTCTCTTCGCAGGACCTCCACACCCCGTCGGAGGACTGGCTGTCGGAGCTTCTGACTACAATCAGACTTCCATCACCATCTCATGGGACTTGGCTGACAATGAAGCAGAAGAGCGAATAGTCCTTGGAATCTTCGCCACCGTTGTTAAAGAAGGCGCCGACGACGCTAGTCCTGAAGCTAGTCCTGCACCCCAAGAACTTGGAGGTGACGTCACAACCGCTACATTCGATCTTGGAGGACCTGGAACGTACATCTTCTCAGTCCAAACCACTAACGACTTCAGCGAGGGAGTTGTCACCACTCAAACTGTGACTCACGAAGTGAAAGAGACCACTGAAGCACCCACTGTACCAGCAACCACCACTCCAAAACCCACCACCAAAAAAATAACAACCCCTAAAATCACCACCCCCAAGCCAATCACCGTCGCAGTCACCGAACCACAGGAACCAAAGAACAGTAAGTACCCATATAGATTAACGTTGTAAGTCCGGATAAGTATAAAACGTATTCTCACCCCGCCCACAAAGCCCATTTTTAGCATCTCATTTCACACTCGTCCCAACCCGTTACATGTAACCCGGAGAGAGAGAGAGACATTGAAAAAACGTCGATCTTACTCCTACCCGTATTGTCGTGTCTTTAACGTAGCAGTAATTGTTTACCGGGGAAATTTGTCGAGCACTGTCCGGACTAATAAATCTATCGTAGATCATATCTCTTTTTCTGTGATGTGATCCCCATATAACAACAGCAGAGAATGTCACAACGCTCTTTGTATATTTCGTGTTCGGCTTTTCCGCTGATTTTCCGCTGATTTAAGGCTCATAAATGATTACTGCTACACGGAGACTCACTTCACGAGGATTTCATGTAAGGATCACGTGATTCAGTGGTATTACCTCACCGGTCACGTGATCCCAGGTTCACAATTACAATAGTCATTTCTCCTGTCTGTTCATACCACCGGTAGCTCTTTTGACCTAAAATTAGGAAAATTACGACGACATCATTCAAGTTATGATCAGCTCACGTTACACGATCATGGAAATCACGTGAAAATCGACCTGTGTAATTGAAAATCGTTCATCTTCGGTTCACAGCTGGTTCTGGGCCAATCTTTAAATTCTAATCTCCCAATGTCTGCTCGCACAGTCCTGTCGTCTTGATGTAGTGATTATATTAGTCAAGCCGCATTCTCTCCTGCATACCGTACTAAGGCAAGGTATACCTCAAATAATATACCAAAAATAATAACGATTCGTAGTTCAATATTACTCCCTCGCAGTATACCGTACTGAGGCACGTTATACCTTAAATAATATACCAAACAAATAATTACGATTTGTAGCTCAATATTACTTCCTCGCAAAAAAACATTCCCGAATTTTCTCCCTGATAATGTGTGACGTGCCCCCAACATATCTAAATGTACGCATTCTCGATTACAAGCCCCCGATGTGGTCATATATTCGTGGTAACAGTGACACCAGAATGCAACACTAAACCCTAACTCGTGTGTCACAGCCCTGCACGTGTGTAGTATCACGTGACAAATGGTGATTTAATGCGGGATGATATTAAAAAATTCGGTACTAGCAGTTCCGGGATACCTCATCACTCCTTTTATGGAAGATTGTCCTGTATTTTAAAACATTCCACACATTCTACGACAATGACCCGATAGCCCCTTATTCAATCTCCTGGACACGTAACAAAGTTACTAGTTCGACAATCACGAATTTCCGGATACGATGAATAGAGGAAGAAATACATCGGTAGATAAAAATGTCCAAAATATCTAATGATATGCCTGTGCAAAACCGCCGCTACTTTATTCTCACGCTCATTACGAACCCTAAAGGAAGATTATAATATTCTCATTTCCGCCTCTCCTTAGCTTCGGAGGATTTATACCCACAATCCTTATTCACACTTAATAATACAGTGTACAAATCTGATCAGTTAACGTCCCCCCAACAGTATTCAAGTAAGGGTCTCACACATTCTCCCTCAGCTGCAGCAATACACAAAGGGGGCTCTTGTTGCGCGCTGACTCGCCGTTTTGTCTATCTTAATGCTACTGTCTGTTGAGAAGGCAAATACTACCTACCGACCCTTCTACTACCAACATCTCCACCAAATCAATAAGCAAATAGTTGACATGTATTTAACCAGAAGACAGCGAGGTGACACTCTAGACTTAACACTGGTTATTGGAGGTCCTAACAAGGTATAATCGGTGATGTCTGCTCACACATTACTCCATACCGGGGATAATATCTGGTGCTCTAACCCACTCTCGCTAAAAACTTGACATTTCCTAGATGGTAATGAGGTGAGCTGTGTTAAGTTGAGATAAGTATTATGCTAAACGTTAAGAAAGATCTGAACTGTAAAAAGTGGGTTACATAGGCATTGCATATAATACATAATCAATTCTCTGCTGAAAGCTAAGTAGGTGATGAGATACCTACATTCAGCCTAGCTACTCATTAGCTCGTTATTAAGGAGGCGACACCTAAAAAGTCTGAACTGCATATTCAACTGAATTAGCCTCTTTTAAACATGGTTACGAACCGTTAAAACCACCACAAGAGTCTCAAACTTGCCCACGGCCCAAACAAAGGGCCCGCATTATTCCTTATATGGCATGATTTGTGGTGATTATACTAATTACACGGGGATGACAAAGCTGCGCTGCTCTCATCGTGGTACCTCTATACCTGAACATATCCGAACATGTATACTTAGCCTCCATGTGAGCAGGTCGTGTATCAGATGGACTACACAGTACACATTCCCGCTCCTTTTTACTCAAGGTTCTGTAATATTTCTGATTTGTAATAATATGTGACAAAGTCTACCTTCTCTATGTGTCTGCATTTACGGAAGTCTAGAAATAAGGGGTTACAGTGTATTCATTCTATGTTGAACTATACTCTGTGTAAGAATCAATTCCAATATATTAAGATAGTGGTGAGTGGTTGTTTATGAACATTATCTACATTGTATATTTCAAAGCACCGCGTGCCTAGTACCTGCAACCTATGTGTAAACAAGTTGCTTTTTCACAACTATCCAAACAGCTGGTGATCTAATCTCACGCAGGACCCTCTTTGTTAGACAGTCTAGTGTAGGGAAAAAACCTCAAACAAAGTCACGTGTTAGATTGTCTCAAACCCGCCGCAAATTTAGTCCAATGAAAACGGACATCACAGGTACGCTCGATCTGTCGTCGAGTGAAACTAACATAACAACTGCACTGCCTTGAGTGAGATGTACGAGAAAGACCACTGAAACTATGATAACCAAGTTATAATCCCAGACCGTCAGTCTTACTCCTGACGTGGACTTCACATCTACTTCACATAGTTCATACACTCACGTACAGAGAAGAGAGCAGGTTCAGTTCATGAGTACAACATTAAAATGTTCATGTCGTACGAGCATGCTAAAATAAATATACTCAGATCTACATTCCAACTCTATTTTATGTGTGTTTGCTGTATAATTTAGAGTTAGTCACGTGGGTTTGCCGCGGTGACTTGCTCGGCTGTTGAAGATAATCACGATTGTCAAATTCAGAGCGAACATGATAAGCACGGCCCTAATGAGTACATCAATGTGCAGCTTTTTAAACATTAAAAAAATTCGATTTGCACGATAAAAATAATCTTGATAACCCTTGGGACCCCTAGATGTTAAAACCTAGACCAGTAACTGATAACCCCTGGGAACCCCTACATTTAAAAAACTTAACCAGGGACTGTACTACTACCCCTTTCTAGAAAAAAATTTTTTATCACAAGACCCTCTCACGAGATGGACAAGTTATTGTTAGGCATTAAATCATTGCAGGATGATTTAACTCTTGGCAACTGCACCTCTCCACTCTCCTACTAAACTATCATATTCAGAAATGTTAGGCCACAGCGTGACACTGATTCTTCTTCCTTGAAATTTGGAGATATCCTTCCTTTTGCTATATAAGGTCTCGTAAATCACAATCCTTCCTGAGAACGGCTTGGTCACGTAGGCAACCGCTTGCTAAGAAATACAGATTAGGTCATGCTTTTAGAATGAAGTCGATTTACCGGGGCCTCGAGCTTTGACTTAGGATGAACACTTCAACTGAATATAGACAAAGTGTGTCTTAATTACGCTGTAAGGTCATTTTCTGGTAGACTAGGGGGTTGAAAACAGACAGAAATTGTAAAATATCAACCACTTACTTTTGTTATAAACAATAGTTGCTCACGATAACTTAGTCGCGCACATATTAAGATGTTGCACCTGTTAGTCCCGGCTGGAATTGCGTAGACTATATTACAGTAAGTACTAGGTATTATATATGCTAGAATTCTGTAATTTATGCACATAAAGATTAAATATTCAATCAAAACGTTGCATATTATACTGACTCATATTTACTCTCATTCGAGCATAATTCGTGAATGTTTAAGAAAGAGAAAAACGACATTTTCACACGCGTGTACAATTGTTATAAGCTACCTTCGTGAGGCGCTGCTCCGGTTAAAAAGTGACGCTTCCAGAACAAACTTTAGATAGTACAGTGGGCAGTCTAGATTATCTCAATAACTCTACACCACTCTTAAGAATACTGTTAACTAATTCTACACAATTCTTTAAGTGGGATCGATTAGTAAACAGTGTAACTGTTTAACGGTAAGATTTATTTAAATATCCGTCAATCCGTTAGAGATGTGCTCGTCATCTTTCTTATTTACGGGTCAATGCGTGTAGTTCGTGGCAGAAATTAGGATCATCTTCTAACATTTGATCGGGCTCGGTTTCGTATAAGTTTAAATCACCGCGGAACACAAGGCTCAAGAAAGGGAACGAATCCTGAGCTGGTGTAACGCTTCGGTAGAAGAGTAATTATCCCGATTGCATTCGCACAAGTATCTCCCATTACATTTGAGAGCTGGGTGTGTATCCTCAAATATCTCTAATTCCATCAACCTCTTACACGCCTCTGTTGGATTACATTCTAGGATTTCATGCTCATGTCCAGAGCGATCAGTTAAATCACTCACTATGCTAACTGTGGGGGAGGAGGATTACCAGAGCTACATTCTCTGTGACACCTCGCTCTGTGTAAGAAACTTGTTGTTCAGCAAGTTATTTGTGAGAGGGAAGTAGAATTTTGGAGAACTAATTAAATCGCTCCTTGCAGCCTCGCTGTTTAACATTACACGTACCGAGATGATAGCTTTAAAATTAAAAATGACAGTTGAACAAATGATTGGAATGAATATTCTATCATGATCATTTTATCATGGTTATAGTATGAAAAACTTTTTTGTAACCCGGAAATGCAGCTGTAATCTGTATCCTTAGGAATTTCCATATTTCAATCTCGGTAACGTAGATTCGATATTAAATTGCAGAATATATCTTTCTGCACAGTGCAGCGTATACATGGCTACTTTTACAATTATCCAGTTAATTAAGAGCATCATTATCAGTCTAATCAGCAAACTGAATACCAGTAATTGAAGTTACAGTGCCGCATTGCGTACTTTATCTTTTGTCTACAACTGATAACACTTTTTGCACGAATATATCGTCGACTTTCAAAGTGTTGAGATCAAAAGATTCGTTGAGAGTACGACAAATTCAGAGTACACGCTATACCACGTACTGATCTTACTACGAAATTGTACAATATAAGCTTACGAAGAGTTCATGATTCAATATAAGAGCCGTCCCGGGACTTCTCGTGTGTGATGATCTTATAACCATGCCGTGTAAATTGGGTGTAACATTTTATCAACTTGCTAAACCTAGCATTCGTATTCACCCTATGCTAGTCGCAACATTAATTAACATTCCTTCCATTCCACAGTGGGCTGTGAGTGGGGGTCATGCTAGCATAGGGTATTTTAGACCATCACACATGCCCCTAACTTTGTTTCTAAGGTAATTTGGGTACAAAAATACGATTCCAATCATTTACAGGGCCCAAAATGTCTTAGAAAAAATTTTTGGGCCGATTTTGAGCACTCCTGTAGTCCAAAAATAAGAGGCTGACCCCAGGAAAAGTTGTTTTTTAGAGGTTTAATCAATTTTAAAGCTCTTCTATGAACTGTAAACGAAGGACAGCTATCTTAGGAACTCAAATCTTTTTGAATTATGAAAAAATATTGATCAGAACAAAAGTTGTGCCCATTTATATGTCCAAAATTTTCTGAAACACCAAAATTTTTCCTGTTATTTTCAAAAATTTCGTTTAAAATCGCGATTTTTTTGGATTTTTATCAATTTTAACTATAATAATTGTACTATTTTGATTTTTCATCCATATGCTTCTAGTCTAGGATGCAAAAAACGCCACAAACATGGAGAATAACTAAGAAATGTCAATTTAATAGCAAAATTGAGCTCATAAATTATCTAAAAATGCAGCAAATTTGACCCCATTTTTGAGTTTCTTAATTTTTTAAACAGATATAACCCAAAGTGGCCCAGACAGATTCCAAAAGCTTCTAAACCAAAATTGTCTCAGCTTTAAGATGAAGTAGGTTTCCATTTGAAGTATTATGAAGTTAGCAACTATTTGTGCCCTTTTTAAGAGAAAAAAATGCTGAAATTAAGTTTAAAATCGGCGCTCCATCAAAAAATCAGCAAATTAGCTAGACCCTTAGGGTTTTTTTCTAGTAACTAGGATGCTTGGATCATCACTAACTCATAAATAACTCAGGAAACTAATACAAAGACATTTTATGGTGAAAGGATAAAAGAAGAGTAAATTTTGGCAGTCAAATACAAAATTTTCACTGCCAAAAAATACAGATTTTAGGCGCGGTGCCATTTTCACACCATTCATCCTTTTTCATTTTGGTTTTTTGCATTGCATCAGGATTATTTTTATCTTAAAAGATAAATCAATTAGAAAAGAGGGGGAAAAAGCCAATTTTTGGCCTATGCTAGCATCCCAGCCCACTGTGCATTCTGAACATGGAATGTTGCTGCTCCACACCAGATGACATGGTGAACTTCTAGAAGGTTTCTCTAAAACTATCCGGTTATTCGGAACCTCATAATGTAATTAAATGTTGATCATCCTACACGCTACCCTGGTGATCTAATGGGACGCCATGTGGCCACCTAGCGGCTAGCAGCTTATAGATTTACACTCCTTTGTGAGCTATGAAATTTAAGAGGACTTGAAAATCTTTGTTTTTCACGTACTAATATAGTTTTTCTGATAACTGGCTTTCTCAGAATTACATCTAAAGCTCTATTTATAAAACTTGCCTTGCAGTTATCCTGGACATTCAAAGATGCGATTACTTACTTTAGGTACTTTGCATAAGGATTGGATAATTTTATTACCAAATTAAGTTAATATTTAATGAGAGTGACATCCCATTCAGAGCCCAATCTTAGCTACTTAGCGGGAACAATCTCCGCAGTATAAACCTCGCCTAACAACAATAAGCCAACGCGACCACGTTCAACTCCTTGCCGCACCGATTACGACAATTTAGTGTTAATTCGAATTCAATTGCAAGTTCATGTCAGGCCGTCTCCTTGTATGTACACCCGTACACACACGGGAGAGCTTTATGTACTAACTATAGTTGAACTCTGATCTACAAGTTGACTCGTCTTAGTCGAATACGAGAGCCGTAACTGTATATTTAAGGGTGTACCTAGTTATTGACCAGCATATCATCACGTGTGCGTATTAGTCAAGTTCATTTATCATTGCTCTTACACACATATCATTCTCTGCATACAATCTTTACATACAATATATTATTCGTTTGCCTACGTGTGTATTATGTAAGGCTGACCAAATCAGCGATCAGGTGATGTAAAATTGGTGGTCCCCCAATAACCAATAATACATGGGTATCATGAGGACTGGTGAGCTGCTAGATGTACAATTTTAGGTGAGTAGATTCTGACGAAAGATCTTCCGTCTTTGCTGAACTTCCTTAGAAAAAGTGCTAAAATAAGTAGCCGCTCGCGCTTCCCCTTTTCTGTGAAATTATATATAAAGCTAATTTCTTTTCTAAAGCGCTTAAATCAGCGTTCTGTGGTATTCTGGTAGATGAGCTCCATTAAATCAGAATACCAGCATGGATTAGCAGTTAACAACTACATTTAAAATAAAGACCTGAGCTAAAACTGACCTTTGGCACTCCCCACACTCACGGCAGCAGTAACTGGAATGTTTATCCTTTCAGTTTCAAAACAAAGAAATACTGCTGCCTATTTTGGCGTCTCAGGTCTCTATTTCAATTGTTGGCAGTAGAGTCTCTTGAAATGAGAAACAACCAATGTCCGGTTACATCATGAAATCAATCAGTGGGCTTGCTATAGGTATCTAGCAAACCTTCTTGTTGTGGAATGGTGCAATGTGATCCTAACACGAGGATGAGTTTTATGATGTGGTTTTTAAGGTTAGACATAAATTTAGCAGCTGGTAGAATTCTCCTGCAAACTCCGCTGACCGCCAAACATTCTTCTTAACCTACAAATTTTAGATATTTTTATTCCCCCTGGGATAAAAATCATGGGGAAAGCTACTCTGTTGGAATGACAATGAATTCATTTCACAAATACTTCTAGACGTACGGATAAATATCGTCACTTTTAATACCATCCTTCATTGGCAATGGCATTGTCTGGAATCCAAATTGTTTTCCTAATTCGGCCTTTGTTAACAATGGTAAACGGACTGTACTTGCTTATCACGCAAATTGTTCCATTCACTGTCATTCATCTATGATTAAGCGGATTTCACAATTCATTTGTTCACACATTTGCACCATTAAATACCAATCATGTCAGTAAAATCAGTCTGGACTTACAACTTGAGTGATCTTTTTTCTCTCTTAAAAAACAACACTTAACATGAATTTTATGATTTCAACATTCTTTAGGATTTCAACCTTCTTTAGAATTTCAACTATTCTCTTAAGTTTGTTTATGATTGTTTAGGGAGAGGGACGGGGTTGCAACGACCGGCGACTGACGGTAAAAAATATCGTAAATTTGTCACGGTTATTGAATTTAGGCGTATTGTTGACTGTAGTATAAAACAATTCTTGTCTCCAAAAGAACTTTCAGGAAAAAAAATATTCATAAACATATTAAGTCGATGCAACCCCCATCTTATTTCTTGCTAAACATGATCATGGGAGGGAAGGCGAAGGGTAGGTTTATTTTGACATCCGACTCTGGTCAATCATGTCATGATCAATATTGATAGTGATGTTTATGTATATCACCATTTCAGTGGACTGCGGACCTATCCAGAACTTGGAACCTCTTCCCGGAAAGCCTCTTCAACTCAGTTGCATCGTGAGTTTTCTTTTGAGTTTTTAAAGATTTAGAATATGGAAATAAAGTTGTCCACCTAGATTTAAACTGAAAATGACAACCTCTCCCGGTCCCGTCTCTACGTATGTTTTATTTCATCATTCTCTTTCTTCGTCTCAGGGGCCAACTTTTAATATATCATTTCATTATTAGTATAATAAGTTGCTATTAAATAACATCAAAGCACCCAAAAGCTGTGTTATAACTTAAAAACGTGCTGGGAACGCCCAGAAATATGCAATTCGATCCTAGATCCTGCCCATGCAGTATGTTTATTTTCGGTGGATCTTGCGGGTTATTAATTTCATGGCACCCACCTTTTCTATAAAACACCTTTTCTCTAAAACTAGCACCACGTGACGCAGAATATTGAAAATGAACTTCATTAATCAACCTGATATCCTATGTTTAACAAACACAGAATATCCTCTCCTTTCCTCCTTCCCGCTGGAATGTACAATAACTAGAACGAAGTACAAGTATATATCTGCTCTCCCCCTTCCTCTACAAGATTTGTGCAGAAATGTTATCTATCAACAAGCTCACTAGCCTAACGATGTGTTCCCCAATATTAACCGAATACCTGCCCTACACACGATTACATTTTCACTTTTCCCGGTATCCCCGGTATAGGCCGGACGCCGGTAGCTAGCTCGCTTACCTTATTTTCTGCTTGGAGTTGGGGAATGTTAGGGTTATGAACTATAAGTCATTAGGATCCTATCTGGTTATAGATCAGTTTGAAGGGTACCCCGGGATGGGAATGTAGGAATGTGAGCCTCTTTACTCATTTACATCTTCACGGACTATGAAACAGTTATAGACTATAGTCATAAGCCTTGGATTAGCCACATGTTCCCAATATTAAAGCAGAAGTCACGTTTTCTGAGCCCACCTCGACCATCGTACAGCCGTACATATTATTATGTAATTTTTGCGATTTTAAAAATATATCTGACATACAGGAGAAACTTGTACAAGCGAATTTTTTGTCGCTCATAGTTCATGCACAGATTCACGATTCCACATGCAATGTCAATCTGACGACTGCCATTTTGTTAAGCAATCCTTGTTCACGAAATGACCTTTGCATATTCACAAATATTATTATTATTATTTAGCTTTTACATGGACTGACACGTCACCATTGTTCTATATATATGTAGGAGGCAGGGTACAAGTTGCAATGTAATACAGGCCTGCCCCCCTGCCCCCTCACTGTTCGTGACTGCACTTGTGATGTGGGGGAAGACTGTGTGTAAAACTGATTATGGAGGGGGAATGGGGATTTAATATTGGCAAAATATTGATTATGTAATATGTGAACGACCCCTAACACATTTATTTTCACATCAATAACCTTCGACCCCTGTCCGCCTGCCCCTTCCCCCCTGCCCCCTCACTGTTAGTGACTGCACTTGTGATGTGTAGGAAGACTGTGTGAAACTGATTACGGAGGGGATTTAAAATTGGCAAAATATTGATTATGTAATAATATGTGAACGACCCCTAACACATTTATTTTCACATCAATAACCTTCAACCCCTGCCCCTGAACCCCTGGCTCCCTGGGTAATTTTTATAAAAATTTTAATAAAAAATATTTTGTTGCTGTAAAAAGCAATTTTCAACAAAAATTATGCATCGCCCTCCCCCCGGGCACGCCCCTGAATACAGCGGCAGTCCCACTGTATGGAGCGTAAATTGTTAATTTCATGATGGGGGAATCTAACAGTGTGGTAAATCCCAAAATCTTTACAGCATCCTCTAAAATGGACCGTTATCACGAATCACCCAACTTCTCCATTCAAAATCATAACCATGCCTGTTTTGACTGAACATGTGCTCCGTATATAATTTTATTAATTAAATCCCCCGGTTTGAATGATTCCATTGTAATCTCCGAACACTAACACGTTAACCATGTTAAACTAAGTATTCAAAGCTACATTCCCTCAAGTAACCAAACTCGATTGTGAACGAGCACACCAACCTAGTTGCTCGCGTTTTACAATAATAGCATATTCATACGGGCCAAGGTCTATTGAATTATCACAGCTGAGCCATCTGTCTGAAGGAGTGACCCAATAAGAGCGCCAGCTGAATACCATCAGCCAATCACAGGCCCGCATCTTAACCACGTGACCCTTGGCGCTAGATGGAGTAGTGTTTACCGCGTTTCAACGCCGGCAGGCAGAGTTCCTCACGCTCTCGATCAACTCAGTTCAGGTTACACACACTCATATTATACGGTGAATAATTAATGAGAGGTAGATGTGTGACCTCTGCCCAGGTTCTGTGTCTGATGTGAAGGGGAACTCAGCACACACTCTAATAATGGAACAAAGCATGCCCATATATGGGCATATTAGTGTGATTAAGCAACTCAATATGACCCTATTTGGGCGGCCTTGTACGTGGTTGATCCGAGTTCAGTTAATGGTCACGCTAATCGTACCCTTTATTTTATCTCCGGCAACTTACCGATGAGGTAAGCGTCCGAACAAAGTCTCCCGTGACTTAAGAGATAAGGTTCTAACTTCTAAGCCTGCTAACAAATAAGGAGTACTCGAGCTGACATGGTGTATTTGGCGGGAGGTAGTGTTGACGTCCGGCCAATTCCGGCAATTGCTTCCAGAAACCGTGGGGATGTACTCACTCCCTCTCTCCTGCTAACAAAGAGAAAGAGAAACTCTTTGTGCAGAACAAAGCGCTATACCAGGTTGTGCCGTGCAGTACACGACCAACAACTGCTGCTGCCTGTATTTGTTTACTATCAATTGCTGACTGAGCATGCAAATCACATGGGAATTGGAGGGAGTGTTGTGGCAGTGTTTAACATCATGTTAAAAGAGAGTGAACTATCAGAACTCGGCTGAGTCTTGCCGTGAAACTGTCAACTTGTAGGTCATCACTCAACTTTTAACATTGTGAGCTGGGTATGGTATGCAATGCATACCGTTAAATAACAACTCTAGTAGAGTCCAGTGTTTTAGAATTCACAGTGCTAATTCGAATAACTGGGTCTAATTCTTGACGAAAATTTTAAAATACGGTACCGCAAATTTATAGAGCAATATATCTTCTGTCCCTCGCCTGTTATTATGTAAACCATCAATGCTTGACTCCCTGAAGTGCCCGTTATTTAGACTTCACCATATCCGATAACATATAATGGGTGAGGAGGGGGCACGCTATCAGAGGGATCCTGATAAAAGCAAGCTGAATAGCCCTCCCTCCCTGGCTCTCATCACCCCATAATTATACTCAGTATTACCCTGCATCATACACCACAATGGCCAGGCTCGTTAGATAATGTGGGCAGTATTTAGGCTTCCTCTGCTTTACAAGCGCAGTTTCTTTGTTATAAGCAGCTTCTTCGTGGCAGGCTTTGAGGGCTGACAAGACCTGATTTTCACATACGATGAAACTTGTGCTAGCTAATATTATAAATCCCTGCCAACTTGTGTTGAATGGCTCTACAAAAGGCTGTATAAAACTTGTAAATTATGAATGAGTCCTCATTAGAGTAGACTGTGTGTAATTCAAACATCTGGCTAGAGTGTAATCAGTAGAATTCTATGAGTAGGTAGATCTTACATGTTACATTATGAAACTAGACATAGGAGTGTAGTCAGGAACTTTGTGGTGTGCACAAATATTCTGGAAGATTGTGAGCTATGTGTGGATTGTCAGTGTAAAGAATATTCCGATATTTGACGATAGATTGTTGATTAAGTTGGGCGCGTCATCAGGACGAAGCAAGATAAATAAGACTGATAGCATTGACTCGATGAGGACTTTTATCCGACTGTTGATAAGAAATACTCGTTTTACTGGATGACCACACTTAAAGGATGCTTTACTTCCCAGAGATTGATGACAATGTTATCATGTTGGTGATTTCAGACCAATGAAAGAGAGACAACTATTTTTTATCTAGCTAGCTATGGGCACAAGGACAAACGGTAATCGGTGATTTCATCGGCTTCCAACGCCTTGTTCTTACCACAACGGAATCGCATATAATAACGAAACTCCCGGAGTGTATAAACAACTATAAATAACTTGGAAAATTAAAAATGTCCACTCCGAATCCCACGGTGCCTGCAATTAAGGGATGGTCTGCGCAAGTGCTGAAATTAATGTGAAATCCTGTTACAATCGATGACATTTAGCATCGGTAAATTCGGGTGTTTTGTTACACCCGCCATCATCAGTCCACGGACAGTTGCCTTCGTAATCCAATATTATCAGGCACAATCGATATAATAATACGAACGATTATTATTATGCAATAATTTCGGATGTAAAAGAGCTCGGCCGGGCCGGAGTTTTATTTACCAAGCTCGTACATTACGTGATCAGTAATTTCATCCTGATGACTGATTGGTCCGCACAGGGCATAATGACCAGAAACTGGACTGTGGATTCTTGCTCATTAAATGAGAAGAAGATGGGGAGTTGGTCAATTGACTAACGTTAACCAGAACTAGTCTCACTCTTTAGGTCATCTCCCCTGGCTGAGCTTGCATTGTGGCTCCTGCATGGCAGCGAGATCTTTTCACATTGGTGGTTTCAAACGTTACATGGCACTTGTTATCAAGCCTGCATTAATCTCACTGACATTGTTCGACACGGGAAGGCAGGCGCTACACCAAATTACGGGCTAAAATTAGAATTTTGTGTGTACGCAATTTGGAGTCTCTCAGTTTCAATGAGGTCATAATGAAACAGAAAGTAAATCAAATCTTTACTTGGGTATGATAAGACGTGCCTGATAATCGATTTATTCTAGAAGCTAGAAACCCGATACAACCCGTGCCCTGAAAAGGTAAGGTATCTTGAGAGCCCCGATAGCCCCCTTCCCCCCTTAATTACTGAATGTTAAGAATGTTCAACCTTGATCCGATCTAGAGAAGAGGTGTTGAGTATCTTGACGGGGGAAACAAATCGATTTAATCCGTAATGACTTGAACCCTGAACGATAACTCACTCACACATATCACAAGTCATGATCACTTTACTCAAGTTAAATCTAACTCCCTGGGGATATGAATGAGAAGCTCACTGTATGCTCAAAGTGACAGTCATGCTGGTCTCAGGAGAGTTGAGACACCCGGCTTTCCAGGATTGACGGGCTTCTCCCCTGTCAAAGTGGATAGTAGATCACATTATTCTTCCCGCACAGCACCGTCATTCACATTTTTGAGTGTTAAATTGCTTCTTTCATGACATCTTGTCAATTTAATGAAGTCATGAAAGCTCCGTGAAGAGTGCGTGTGCAACGCCGACAGTAACTAGCTTCATCCTCAAAACAGGCCGACAATATTTAAAACTTAGCGATAACTTGAAATTTTGAAATCGAGTAAGTTCTCGCTCTGCACTCCCTGCACAGTGATAAATCTACAGGTTTCCCAGCTTTCCCAGGCTTTCTGCAAATCCTACAGGGAGAGAGCCCTTTTGAATACCTGGCCTCTATCTAATGCTTTTACATTCTCTGCAGCGTAATTTGCACATCATTAGAACAGCGCATTTCTGGTCAAGTTCAAGATACCACCTTTCTCCCCTAGCTTATTAAACCGACTCCCGCCTTAACTATCCACTCAAAGTTTAAACTTGCACTATGCTGAAAATGTGCATGATTAACGAGGTGGCGTGTAGTAACCTTTATTCTTCATGTTAAAGTTGAGATTGTAATGTGCACATGCGGGCACATTTTAAAATGAATGAAAGAAAAGTGATCAGGTCATCTAACTGAGATTCGTGCTCGATGGAATGCACCAGATTAAGTATCCCTCTTATCAAATTTAAGTCACCGCTTTAAGGTGGTAAACGGTAAACGTTCACACTGTTTACACTTCTTGTAGTGTTATTTATATTAGCTAAAATCGCCGTTTTTTCCGAGAATCTTAGTTTCCAGAGATTGTTGGTCTCTCCCATCTGAGTAGTTGAGCTATTTCATTATTCAACAACTTAGCAACTCTAATAACTCATTGTTAATGTCTCTGAAAACAGAGTCTCTCCAGATACAATTACCAAAGTATTCAAGACACGCCGGGGCCAGATGTCTAACATTCTCACCACCAGATGTCCCACATTAACTCACCACAGAGAAATTCTCACATACCAGAGTCTCAAAACTAAAACCACCTCACTAGTCACACACAAATGACCACGTGACACATACTCTACTCAGCTGTGCTCTCTCTTAATTACCATAGTGGTGGCCGGGGCAGCGGAAAGCGCGGGAATTTCAAACATCTACACTCGCGTGTATGACGTCATCCATTTACTCAGTGGTTTACACACTCGGATATTCGTGTGTGTGGGAATTAAGGGGGGTGTATGTTGAGGGGCCGAGTTAGCGGGTTTGACAGTGTAACTCATGTAATTATTGGTGGTGCAGTTTACAGAGCCTAGTCAGTGTAGCAGGTGTGGGGAAGAGGCTGGAGGAGGGTTGTTGATCTCACTTGTTTTCTTTGGATAGAATTAAATGGGAGGGAAGGGAGCCGACAAGAGTTTGTTTGTTTTAAATAATACAGAGAAATTAGGGCAGGATATGATGAGTGTAGTAGACTTATATCAGCACTGAGACACAATGCATCCTAACAGGAAATATGCAACATTGATAACCAGGCTGGCCCGCGGCCAGGTGCTGAGCTGTTGAATATAATTTTAGGGGGACAAAGAATTTATCTATGATCTAAGCGGTCTAGGCGATGAGCTTGACTATGATCTAGATGATGATTTGAGTTCATGCCATGGCAGTCATCAGTCACACTATTACATTAGACCTCCAAATGTGGAAAATGTGAACTTCCGAAAATCAGTGATCTGTGCTGAATGGATTTTAGTCTAGCTCAGCTCGCTCGGATAATTGTTCCTCTACCAGTTAGTTACTGGTCACTTGATTTCACATTCCAACAGGCTTCCTTTCTCTTTTGAGGCTATTATTATTCAGCTCTCCGATCCCTTCCATTGGTTCTCCGTCGACAGCAGGTCTCTGATTGGTCAGTTTGTGGAACACATGACCACACGTTTCAGATATGCTTGTCCACTAGTCACTCAGCCTCTGCCTGGACCAGCTGAATTACTGCTCTACATTTAGCATAATGACCTTTACTAAAGTGAAACGAAAAGCTAAATAAGATCACGTGACTCACAACTCAACACGTGGCATTAGATCACGTGACATGTGACCGTGTGACTTGATATCAGGGTTAGTCTAGTATCCCTGGGTGAGCACGTGGGCACAATTCATCCACATTTCAGCCCTTATTATCTCTAAACGGGCTTGCTTACAGACCTGCACTTACTGTGTCTAGTGTGGATGTACAAAGATGATGATGGCCGTGATGATGATAATCATTACTTTGCTAATATAGCTCTGAATTGAACTCCGCTTAGACTTGAGCCTGGTTAAATGCTCAGACTTGATGATAACATGTTCTGAATGGGATGTATTTATTTTAGCTCACCCTATTGGTGGACCACGCTTTTTAATTAGATTCCCCCGGCGTACTCAAAGGGTATTTTCGAAGTGTTGAAACTTGATTGTGTAGATCCGGGTGTTAGGTCCGCTATTCCGGCCTCTAGGTACGATATTCCGGCCTCTACACTCTGGGTGTAGCCCCAATTAACACTAAAAACTCGACTAATTGGTAGAATTATCACGTGATGTGCAGTACATGCTACATTCCAATTAGATGCGAGATATGAGTTCAGCTGTTGGGCTGGCAGCCAATCAGAACACGTGTTATAGTTGTCATGGAAACGATAGGATTGTCATGGAAACGAGAGTACATGTCATCACTGGCTAGGCTTTTCCATGGTCCTGGGGTGTGTTATTGTTGATTGTTGTCAAATTTGGTCTTATCACTTGGCTCTAGGATACTTTCAGCAAGTTGTCTATACCTGTCACATTGAAATAGACATGGTCTGAGCCTGGTTTCAACGCATAAGTTTCATAAAGTTGCAATGGCATTAAAAGTGCACATACTGCAGCTGGCTGTATAAAATGAAATTGCTGAATTCTGGTTTTAAATATAGAATTAAAGATGTATATTTTACCGTGTCAGGTCTCTAGTAACTCTAGTTGAATTATCCACCCTAGTTTAGGTTTAATTTACTTTCTCTTTCTTTATGACCTCACTGATTGTCCACAGTAGAGAGCCAAGATATGACCACATCTGGTTTAATTATAAGTAGGGTTGTGTTCAAGATATCTGGTCAATTATCTCAATTATCACAGTTCCTCATGGAGCAGATAAAGCAAATATCGTTTAATTTGATGAAATAATTAACCAATTACCCCGCTATCTTTTACACCCTTGGCCTTATCAGTACCAAGTGAGCTTTCAAAGCTTTAATTATACTAAACAAAGATCTCGCAAGTATGAACTAATCTTTTGATAAGATGTGACGAAAAGCTAGATTCAATTACCAAAATTTCGTGGTCGCCGGGGATGAAATGTGATGAGAGGTTCAGACCAATTGTTAGATTAGCTTATTAGCTAACTTAAGCCGAAGACAGCCTTCTTCCATCTCTATACATTATCTTCTTTAACCGAGAATGCAGCACAGAAAATATAATTCTATTGCCATCATACTGTGTTATATATATATTATTACACGTATGTGGTGTAGCGATAAAACTAATTCGGTACAATGCTCGTCCCTTAATGTGGCAGTCATGTGAACAGTAGTGGTTACACTCGATAAGGGGCCGATAACTGACGTATTAAAGTACGTGGTTTCAGCTCCTCACACTCTATCTGCACAACATACCTGCAGCAAGTGTTATTATTTATATATTATATCCTCCTCTTCCTCCTTTACACGGCTTCTACTGTTACCCTCTTCCTTCCCCTTCCCCTACAACCTACACGTAATCACATTGACCTGTGAAATGTCAAATCGGAGGGATCGTTTAGCCGGCGCCACCAAGCCGTTAAACCTTTAGCTAACCTCTTCTTTTAGACGAGATGTATCATCACTATTGCACAGATCTCAGATATAGTCGGGATATTTATATCATTGTGCTGATAAGTACTGTCTATTCGATCTACTAAAACGGGCTTATTTTCTCGTTTTTGCACTAAGGTGTTCTACAGAAATGACCAAAACATATGGCACCCCCACTGTACCTCACACAGCTCAGTTAGGTTTGATATATACAGCTCAATTTGAGCTGTTTATATCAAACCTAACTGAGCTGCGTAAGGTTAAAACCTCTATAAATAAGCCGAACTGAGGTCAGCATTTCAATGTTGAAAGGAGTCTTAATCGATCGCCTACTTTTACATATCGGTTTTCTCCTCATTGGGGAATACAATATAAATCCTTCCGTCATTACTCTAGTCCATTGTCGATGTATATATATTAATAAACAAAAGGCATCGCTAACCTAACCCATATTACAGGTTCCTGAGGATGTTAACTACGAAGCTGAAGCGATCACCTGGTCCTACAAGGTCGGAGATGAGGGTCAGACGTTAGACCAAGAAGCGCTTATTATCTCTGGAGTGAATATCGTGGCCAACAACACCTTGAAATCCAGTACCCTCAACATCGGTGAAATCATCGAAACTCAGGCGGTAAGTACTGATAGTGGCTGAATTTGTCTCAAAAATAAATGGTTGTTCAACGTTTTGTGGTTGTTGGTGAAATTCATGTTCCCTCACGTGGAAAGCTGGAATTTTCTCTGAAAATTTGTATCTAAATTTTCCCTGAAAATTATATGGATTTCGGATGACCTTAAGAAACGGTCGACCGTAGTTCCCGTGGTTGCAATACTACTTACAAGGTGATGAAATAGGATACAAAATTAGTAGTAATATATTAGTATTTCGTCCACCTTCGCTTTCTCAAACCGTATCTGGAATATGCAACTTCCCTGATCGGGGAGTTGGCTTTTAAAGCTCCTCAGTTCTCGCAGCCATCTGAGGCTGGTCCGCTGGACTGGCTGCCGTCTAGTGCATTATTGCAAATTTACAGAACGGTTTATGATAGTTACCATGAAGTCGCGGCAGTTGTCCATTCATTGCACCTAATTTACCTTTCATTGAGAATCGATGACAGGAAAAAACAGCTGTCTAAATATCAGGTTTTTACACTCAGACTCGCTCAAACGGGATAAGAAGTCACGTGACGCACTGTCAGGTCACGTGACAGTCATGATGTGCAAGTAACCACCCTCGACACGTGTCACTAAGTTCCGGGATATGTGCCCCGGGGAGCAGGTACACTTACACCCACTTCCGTTCTGGGGAGGGCCCTGTGTGTGTGTGTAGACTGTAGCACTTACGGTTACCCTCTTCCTTTGTAATGCGCTAGACATGGTTAAACAGTATGGAGTTTAGCTCTTATTCAAGTAAAGTAAGCAAGCTTAACGTGACCTCTCTCTCTTATTATGTACCCTGACCATGGATACATAGGTAGGTGGTGGATCTTTTGTCTAAATACCATCCTCACAAGGACACACAACATGCAACTAATTCTCGAGAGTATAATTATGAAATTGCGGTACGGTGGGTTAGTGGCGTGACTTGTAGCCTGGAGTAGGCACACTCTACTTAGTAGTAAGAACAGAGAGAGGGGGAGATAGAGCTGGGGAGAGAGAGCATGGGTTTATGGAACAGTCGTCTTTTGTAGAATTGTAAGAGTTGGCGGCTCTTTAGGAAAGGGCTGGGTCTCTGAGTAGACAGGCTCTCCCTGAAAAGGTTGGAAATATCTAGATTACTGGGTGTATCTAGCTGAAACTGTGTCCAGACTCACACTGCAACTAGCGAGATCCAGAGCGAGTGGATGTTAAGAGAAATGTTAAAGGATGAATTGCATGTTTAGAAACTAAAATGTAGCCAGAGATTAAAAATAGGATACAAATCACTCGCGCCCGAAAACAAACGTAAACTAGGAACATAACACATTTCAGGGTACTTACAAGTGCAGTATAGAGAGTAGTCCACATTCGTCAGAGTGCGAGTACATAGTCGCAGTGACCCGTACCGGCAGCGGAGCCCTCCAAACTTCCGTCTCCACCGCCGTATCACTCGTTATCGTCCTCCTAGCTTTCTTTTAGGTACTGATTGTCTCCAGAGATCAGGACCTCTCATTCTCTGTCATGTCTCTCTGTTATGCTAACTAATGCTTCTTCTCAAGCGTCTTCTGATGCGCTTTATTACTTGCTTTTTATATCCTCCGTTACATGGTTTTAACGAGAGTTATGCTTGCATTTAAAATATATATATTGCTAATGGTTAAGCACCCTTTAACCACTTTAAATGCTATTTAAACAGATTATCTGTCTTCATGTATTTTTGCTACTTTCTTTGTTCATGTTATCCAGGCATCTTTAATATCACTTGAAAAATATACTCCATGAAGAATTCATGGTTCTCAGTGGCAGATTTCGGAGATTTTCTTGAATTATTGGTTTTCATGCGTGAAAAAAATTCTATGTTCAAATTGTTGACTGGAAGAATCTTTAATCTCTCGAGTGTGCAAGATTTGTCGCGTGTAAACTGCAAAGTCTATCAGACTGAGTGAGAAATGCGATGAGTCATCGTATTCGTCAGATGTTCTCTAGATTTCACACATTGCTAACTTTGTTTTGGGCTGATGTGAAGTGATCATCACATCAAGCCACTCATGCTAATGCATATGTATGCTACTAATTATATCATCTTTATTCCGCATGTCCCTTGTAGAGTTGTAGCTAGATGCTGACATTTTTCCTCTCGAAAAATATCATTTTAATTCAAGATTCAGTGCGGGTTATTCGGCTCAAAAGATTGAGTAAATTATCGCTGAAATCTGATTGATGGTATCATCAATCATTGAATGGACCAAATTATTTTTTAACTATGATCGATATTATCATTGAATTGATCAAATTATCTTTATAATCTATCTGATTGACATATTATTAACACTAAAAGGAAATTCCCTTCTTAAATAATGCACGAACTAGCATTACACTGATAGTTTTGGTTATGCTGAAAATAATTGATTTTATATTTTTAACCCTGACATGATATTGATAACAAGTTGAATATCTAAATGATTTTTTTAATCGTAAAAACAGTACGATGAAGACTTTACCGTGGCTGATTCAACATCGCTACCCAAGCTTCAAATGTTTACAATGTCTTCATGTTTGATGTTGGCTGAAAGAACCTTTCATCATCATATTAGCAGCTTCTCCTCCAATTAATAAACTACTTATCACCTAATTGAGTAATTATCTTCAGGGTATCTACAGGTGCCACCTTGACGGTGAAAAATGCACCTATGTAGTAGAAATGCAAGGCGCAGCAGTTGGAAGCTCTATGCAGACGATCGCTTCAGGGACCCTAATCCTTGCTGCATTCATACTCACACTCCTTCACTAAGAGAACTGTAAAGTAGGATTATTAACTGTTCTCAGTCCTATGATGACGACATGTATTTCGTCTCTACAATTGCTCTCTGTTTCAAAATATAAGCAGCTAAGTCACTCCGGCGGCTTGGAGGTTGCTTCAGGCCCTACGTCATTATATCTCAATCTAGCTTTAAACTCGAAACTTTGTGTTGATATATATGGAGCATGATATGTCGCCCTGCAAAAAATAGTTGAAAATGTGTTTTACCCCGTCGAAAAAAGAGAACAATCCCCCTTATTTTGATGGAAGAACTGTTAGATATTATCATTTTCTTAAATTGTTTGAGGTGCTGCAACTCTTATTAAGAATTAATTTACTGTGCTGTTGTTTTAGTAATTTCTAGGAGTGTGCTTTACGTTTATTATGTATTAAGGGCATGGGTAAACATTTGTATGGGTTGGAGGAAAATAAGAGGCTTCATTAAAAGTGTGAATTTTGGCGTCTCTGGTTACGTGATACGAAACTTTCCTCGTGTTTTTATTAGAGTTATCATGATTAGAGATGTAGCTTTGATATTTAATACAACTAGAGAAATACTATTTTTTAACTTCTTTTAAAATTTGTTAATTTATTTATCTTCGAGCGATGATCCATTCGTGTAATTTTATAAGACCTTCGATCGTGTATTTACAGGTATGGATTCTATAGTACACAGGTTGCCGAGTGAGATATTAACCAGCTTTTCTTCAAAATTTAAATTTTTACCCTGAAAAACGAAATTACCATATTTTATCTGCAACATCCATCACTACTCCTATATTGTATCCAGCTTGACAGTGAATAGTAAGGCACGAACTTTAATGGGGCAGTCTCCGTGAATTTTGAGTTTATGTTTTACGTGCATACTGAAATTATTAATTTACTTTTGATACCATGATAATAATGATATTATATGTATGTTTATTTTTTGAACTTTTCGTATTGTAAAAGCTTGCCATGCTGGTATCTAGGTATAAATTTACCATGATTTTATCCACTTGAATGGTCCGTAGCTGAATTGATATATGCCGGCTAATCGTTGGCTTAGTATTGATTTCATTAGGTGGGCTAATTGCAACAATTTGAGGGTTATGGTTATGTTCGTCATTACTTTTGTAGAACGTTATATAGGCAATTATGTTAATATAATAACTATTTTGGTACATGATGGAACATTTTAAGTTTAATATTCTGGGTTTCATTTGTATTCGTTATTGCACTGCTGAAAAGTAAGGCTTATAGGCCAGAAGCAAAAATTATAAATTACGAAAATCTCTCCAAAAAGGTTGTCTAAATGGACGAATAAGTAAGTAATTGACTAATTTGTAGAGAACCATCGAGGCTTGCTTGACTGTTGACAATTGGCGGCAGCCAGGGGTATAAAAAGCCGCAAAATGGCGTAGTCTGCTTCTGAGTATATAACGATGAGGTCATCTTACTAAGGCTTTTGTGGTCCTTAACAAAGATAATATCTAATCGTGGTTGTGTCGACATTAAGTGGACTCTGATTCAATCCTCAGGGTGACTCCAAGAAGAAAGGAGAGCATTACCGCGTTAAAACCACACGTTAACTGCTGGAAGGCGGACGCGAAATTATTTTATAGTGCATGCCACAACTTTTCATCATTTTAGCTGTAAAGCGCGGCGCGCGCTCGCTCAACGTTACTGGTCATTTACGTTGCATGGACCAGTATGGAATCTAGTGAATGATATTCATCACTTATCTGTTATCATTTTTCGGGATGTCATGTTGTCCAACTGCTGAAGAATGAAGTTTAGAGGTTATAAAGGCAACTCGATGGATTCAGAAAATCCTGTTCATCAAATGTAATATCCAATGTGTTATGTGGACCCTTGGTCATGTTCAACCCTTTTTGTTTTGGCGACCCTTTACAGCATTTTAGTGCATCCATCCGCATACTGAAAATGTTTTCTCCTTCTTCCCGCATTTTGATAATATACCAGGTCTCTTGAGAGGACGCCACAGTTAACTGTGAGGAAAGAAGAGGTAAACCTGTTGTGACCCACAGTAAGTTACCCACTCCGCTGTTCCGAATGAGGAGGTGACTGGTGAGCCTGTTTGTTGTTGTTAGAAACTGCTCAGCTGCAGTCAGCCTGGATTGCACTCTTGACTCTTCCTGATCCTGGTGATCATATCATTATTTATCCTGCAGGATGATGATGGGACCAAGTTGCGGTTCTCTAAACTGGACCTTAGGGGTCGTTCACATATTATGTTATCACTGAGGCCTGAGGGGGATTCTAGGTCGCTTGAATTAATTGGCTTAAGTCTAACTGGACAGATGGGCTAACTGCTATAACGCTTAAACCCGTGAATTAGGCCATAAAACCATTTAGTTCAAGCGAAGGTTTTGCAGTCTTATTCTGATGGCCTAATTATACTTCACGAGGATCAAATCAATTTCAGGTAGAACTAGAAAGAATAAAATACTCTTACCACAGGGATAATTGGGGTCGTACACATGTTACGTAATCAGCTGTACTGAGGCCGAGACGAGGGGGAGCAGCTAGTGGCGTAACCAAGGGCCCCGCGGACCCCGCTGTGGGGCGCAATCTTAGGAGGGGCGCCAAATCGTCGTTTGAATGTGGGACAATTAGGAATGTGGGACAATTAGAAATTAGTTAAAAACTTAACTACGGCACTAGCGAAAAGTGGCATGCAACGTATGTCAAAGCAAAACTGAGTGTTTTGGCTATTGTCTTATCATAACATTATTGTCTTATCATATTCATTATTGTCTTATCATATTTGTGTGCGTTTTAAATGAGCAGCTGATAAGCTCGTACATCGTGGGCGACTGCTTATACTTTACCAACTATACTGCACACCATGGCCGAAACGGACACTACAACTACGGACCTTCCTGATGGAGAACTTCAGACGGAAGATAAGACGACTACTCCCGGGCTGCTAGGTAGCGGGCCGCCCACCGCTACCAGTACTCAAGAGGGCTACCTAGCAAACACTCTCGAAGCAGGTACGCAAGTTGAACATTTTCCAGGCGAATTTACTGACCGGGAAACTCAAACCACAAACCGGGAAACTCAAACCACAAACCTATACACCTTCACACCTGGACTATGCCTTGAGTTAATTCGCGACCGCCACCTCTCAGTTGCACAAATGCGCAATGAACTAGCTCTAGTTCTTGACGAGAAAGCTCTGAATGAACGAAATACAGAGAGGAAACTCCAAAACGCATTAGAAAAGCGTATTGCACCTGAGGTTGAGTTTTACAACAAGGACTTGACTCGCAACACTAGTGAACTAATATCAATTTTTACGAGGCACGAACAAGAAGCTGCTGCACAGATGGAACAGCTTAAGAAAAGCATCCAGCACGCGACTACACTGATAACTGAAGTCCAGCAGACAACACACACTGATACGGGTAACGAGGAGAACACAGGTACTTTCCTTGGCCTTGCCTATTTGACTTTCCCCGGTACACCGTTTGAAAGCTTCACACCTGACCTGTTAGACGCCGACACGGATTATGACCGCACATTCAGTAATAGGAAAGTGGCCTACTATGGGGACGTACCCTACAAGTACGCAGGGGGGTCACACAGTCCACGGGACATCAGCACGAATCCGTATCTCAAACAAATTGTTGAACACTTTAAAACACTTGCCCCCGACCAAACTCATCACTACAACAGTTTTATGGTCACTAAATACGACAAACACACGTCCAGTATTCCCCCACACAGTGATAACGAAGACTCAATAGACCCTGAAAGCCTCATTATGACCATCTCTCTGGGGGCATCCCGCCCAATTACCTTTCGGAGGAAACTAGCCTTCGGTTATGGCAAGGGAGAACTTACACCACACCACGGCTCTCTGTATGCTATGTCACGTGCCAGCCAAGACATGTTTGATCACAGCGTTCCACCCATTCAAGAATCTGATTTTACTGGGCCTAGAATCAGCATCACATGTCGAGTTCTTCTAGATCACTCTGCTAGATCAACCAGGCCGCCACGCAACCCTGCCAGCACTGCGAGCCGACCTAAAAAGGTCCTCATACTATCAGACTCTAAGAATGCGTCCTTTGACTGTTCCTTATTCCGTGAGCCTGTTATCGCATTTAGAGAGAACCTCTTCTTTTTGCGTGATCTCCATGAGCACAGCAAATCCATCGAACAGGCTGACGTGGTTTTGATATCAGCAGGCATAAATGACATGATGAAAGTCTCCGCAGCTAACCCGATAACACTGCACAACCACCTGAAACATTTCGTGCAAAAATACAAAACACAATTCCTTTTTGACTGCATCACAAACCTCTCCATGTCCGCTGATCCTTACAACAACATGAACAGACGCATTAACTATCTCAATGAATTACTTCTCAAACTGTCACTCAGAACTCCAAATTTCAAACTCTTTGAGAACATATGTTTCGGACTTCCTCACCTGTCACGTGACGGCTTACACCTGAACCACGCGGGGAAATCAGCAATGACTGACTGCTGGGTACACTGCATACTGCTAGCACTCGGCTTTAGACAAGGACCATTGCCACTACGCCGTCAATTTATTAGTATAGTTGAAGAGTTTTACTGCAAATGAGTGTTGTAACAAGATACAGGGTGGCCCATAAGTGACTACCCACACGCAACCTCTTAATAACTCACGTAATTCGTCTCCAAATTGCACCAAAATTTCAGAGATTATAGATATGGGTCAAACTTAGATTTCCTGAAAGTTTCGTAAGCCACGCCCAATTACAGTGGGCGTGGCGTGACACTCCCTCTTTTTCACTATTGTCTTCATAAAATGAGAACGCTTTAAGCTAAGAACTCAAAATTTTTTGCAAACATTTGGCTTGATAATTGAAAACCTTTCCCAAAGTTTCAAGTTCATTGGTTAAAATATGGCTAAGTTATGACCATTTCAAAACTCATCGGATACCTGATCCGAGCACTCAGTCAGTGATCTCGTCACTTGGTTAATGGCCTGTTTGGCTCACATGTGGGTAGTCATGTACTATGAGATATGAGCTAAATTTTATTCTGAATAACATACCATGAGATATGAGCTAAATTTTATTCTGAACAACATACCACTTTTGGTCCCAGAACTTAATTCTATGCTTGCCACAATCTCGCAACGAAACAAAAGAATTACCAAATCTAAGCAACTAATTCTCATCTTCATTTTGGAAAAATAAACATCGATAAAATCGCTTATCTTATCTTATCTTAGCTCAATTTTTCGTTATATATAGTCCTTGATTAAACTTAAAACCTCGCCACACAGCTGCGTTCTTCTTTATACATTGTACATTACATTACACACTACACATTGTACATTACACAACTGACAGTAGACGACTAACATTAGACTAACATTAGATTAGCGGTCGCCCCACCCTGTACAGTGTTTACATAATTGCAAAGTAAAAGTAAAGTTTTCTCATAGTTAAGAACAGAACAGTTAGAACAGCAGGAGGTAATTAACTGCAGGAGGTATTAAGGTATAGGTACAGGAAACTAGGAAATCACGGGCTGATTTACAAACAGGGCTGAGCAGTCCTCGCTAAACAGTCCTGATAGGATTACGTGCTATACCTATTAATACTATACATCATATCATTTTATTTTTACTTTTACTTTTACTTTTACTCATTGTTCATCTATGAAACCATGTGCGAGTTATGTAGACCAGATCAGGCCAAACCACTGTGACAAATGTGAAAAACGGATCCCAAAGAACCACCCTCATCTTTACTGTGCACTGTGCGAACGATTGAAACATTACAAATGTGAAAAGTAAACTAAATTAGAAGCCGATGAACTAGCTAAAACTTATTGGACCTGCTACGAATGCCTTAGTAGTATTTTGCCAATAAGAGCCTGCGATGAATGTATCTTAGATTCGCACAATACTTCAAAAAAATACAAGCAGCAATGTCACAGTTGTCTGGGCTGGTCTTACTCTTCAAGAAATGTGAGAGAGTGTGATTGGTGTGAACTAGCAGTCCACAAGAAGTGTTATAGATATGAGCTAGGATGCGTCAAATGCTGCGTAGAAAACATACCTGGTTACAGCACTAGCAGTATAGATCTAAATGATGATTATAACTCCTCCTCAATCCGGCACACTTACAACCCTTACAATAAATCCAGCCTCATAAATTCAATTGGAAACCAAATA